TTTTTGTGGGTTTTTTGCAAAATGAGTAAATTCTGAAAGTTTGTTTGAAGTCATCGTCTGAACGTTTGATTCATACCCGGGTGTGTTTTTTTTGCTGACTCGGGGTTTGGACTTCCCCCTCTGAAAAAACATTAAGAAGACTTTTTCAGGAAATGACCTTACACAACACACGACGTTTTGAAAAATACGTAACCATGACACAGCACTTTTTTTTTTTGCTTCATGTCATTGCTCCTTTCACTCCTCCCAACACTTCCTGTCTCTCTTCAGCCGTCTTCTCTATTGAAGACAAAATGATCCAGAAAAATATCTTTTAAAAACACAGCTCTTCAAACGTCGGGTCATTTATGAAGGAGGAAAAAAAAAAACAGACGACGACGCTGAACAGAAGTGGAAAGTAAATATTCAAGCTTAATATGCAAACCTTGAACTTCCTGCCTCCACATGATTACAGATTAACCTCCGAGTACACTCACAGGAATAATACAATATAGAATCCCTTAAAGAGGTGACTCTCTCAGATATCTAGAAGCTGTTATCTTTTAATGCGCTCACTAAGCTGCAGTGGTTAGTTTCCTCCTCACAGATTTTAGTGTTTTCTGCACACTCATAAAGTTTATAAAACTTGGGTGTAATAGACGCCGTCAGGGCGGTTGGAGACGGCGTTCTCACGTGAGCAGAAGAAGCGGAGCTGAAACAGCGTCAATAAAACCGACTGGACCAACCTTCAACTTTGACACAGACGGGTCAATGATTAAACCATCGAACAATAAAATACCTCAGATACCAGCTTTACACACACACACACACACGCTAATACATACTGTACACACACACATACACACGCTAACACATACATAGACAAACACACACACATACACACGCTAACACACACACACTCTGCACTTTGACCAGCTGCAGTGTTCATAACATAACACACAATAAAAAGTACATAATCATCAACGTCTCGCTCAGTTTCATAACAGAGCAAATCAAAGAGTCAGGTGAGACAAAAAAAACAACTTTTACACTGAAAATCCCCCAACAGGATAGGGAAAAAAAACTGCAACACAGCATCAAATGCTAGTAGGCTAACAGAATGCCTGCAGAGGGCTTCAGACAAAATATATCAGCATGTCAGAGGATTCATTTAGCACTCTGATTCTTCCAGAGAGGCACAAAACTAAAAACAAGTGTTAAAATCCTGCAGTTCCTGGAGTGTCCACTAGAGGCTGGCTGCAGCAGCACAGGAAGTCACATACACACCCATTCTAAAAAGCCTGTTTTTACAGCAGAGATGAACATGTTTACAGCCTGGTTCAAAAAACCAAATAGGTGTGATTAGCTCATGTCTGGATGGACACACACTGTACGGGGGGGTGAATGTTTTGATGACTCATCAGTTTTGATTTGATGAAGGATAAGAGTTATTCACAATAAGGCGTGTAGCTGACCTGATTGACAGGTGGGCGCGGTGTAACGGTTTGTCAGGAGGTTTAAAACCCGCCTCAGCTCCAGCTCTCAGCCTGTCGTTAGGTTGACTGACAGTTAGACTGAGACAGCATTTCCAGCATGGAGACCGCCATCGATGGGACACTTACAACCAAGTTGCTCCCGCTGTTTTGTCGGCAGCATGTGAATGTTTATGAATGGATCTGATTGGCTGAGCAGCCTCTACCATCAGTGTGTGAAATAGCTTTGAGTCAGAAACGAGAAAATAAATAAACAAGCTCAAGTACATTTACCAGAAAGGAGCCACAAGTCGGATTCGAACCCGGGCCGCCCACTCTTGAGGATATCGGGCCAGTGCGCTAACAGCTTAGCTAATGGCACCCGCAGTGAATGTTCTTACAAAATCTGATGGGAATCTTTCTAGAACTCTCTGTCTGATATTTTTGTGTTAGAAAACAAAATGTTCAATTAAAAAAAAAAGGAACTGTTTGCTGTTTTTGGATTTACTTCTAAATCTAAAGAGTTGAACTCCTTCATGTGACTTTAACAGCCTTTTCTTTTTCTCAGCCGGTGAAGTTTTCAAATGTTTTGCTGCGAGTTCAGCATCCTGCCGCTGCTGCGTCTGTTTGTTGCTTCAAGCTGACCGTCATTGTTTTTCTCACAGGCTCCCGTTCGGGGTGTGTCGCCGTCACAAAGGGAAAGTGCACCTGAAGTTTGTGGACAAGCAAGACTTCCTTCCTGTGCCTATAAAAACCTTTACGTAATCATGTGTGTGTGTGTGTGTGTTTGATCCATGTGGTGCCTTGATCAAGTCACGTTGGGGATCATATCGGCACGTAGACAAACAAAGTGCACATGAAGACCCCTCAGCCTCCTCTGACCCGACTCAGAGCTCAGATACTGAAACTCCAGAGAGAAGACGTTTGAGGATCACTGTCAGCTACTTTTTTAGATTTAGAGTTCTGCTTTTATGAACTTTTAGGGAACAAGTGGATCCATCTGGGCGCCATTAGCCTAGCACAGTGGTGTCCAAACTTTTTTTCTTGTGGGCCAAAATAATCGTGTTAGAATCGCTCGCGCCACAGGTTTTGTTTTTTAAAATATAGTTTTAAAAATAGTAAAGCTTTGTAGATCAGAATCAAAAGGCTCGCTAAAGAAACCCTTTAATAAAAGGAAATCAAATATTTTGATTTCTTCGTTCTACTTTATGTTTTTTTCTCAGAATCAAGCCTGTAACGTGGTTCATGTTTTTGGAAAAGCTTTCTTCATTCAGTTCAGGTCATTAAATGGTTAAACAACAGTCTGCTTGTTTGAAAAAACTTTGCATACGTTTTTTTTCATAGTTTACAAAAAAATGTGGAAAATAGTAAAAGCTGTAGATTTAAAAAAAAACAACAACAACATACATGTGACTGAACATTTTCTATATTAGGAATATTGTTCAGCCCTTGTTAACATGAAAAAGAAAAATAAGATAATGTGCCGATCTTAATCAAAATCTTCTGATTCTTCATTTGAAGTCACGGGCCTCAAAAAATCCCCTAAAGGGCCTCAAATGGCCCTTACGGAGGCTATAGTCGTCCAAGAGGGCAACCCGGGTTCAAATCAGACCTGTGGTCATCCCTCACTCCCTCTCTCCCTGATTTCTGACTTGATCTATTTTCCTGCCTCTTAAAAAGTAGCATCATAAGATTTAAGCTAACTATCTTAAAAGCGATTAGCGCAAAATGGAGAACATAGGACGCACCAGAGTATAAAGTGTGGTTGATTTCTTCAGTGCCAAATATTTGGTTTGGATCTCATTGTCAGTGTGAATGTTTGTTTGTATGCTGGCTGCTGGAACACCTAAATTTCCCAGCTGGGATGAATAAAATATATCTTATCTTATCTTTATCTTATCTTATGTAGTTTGGCAAGAAATGTGAATTTGATATCAAGATTCACTGAAACTGTGATATCGGGTTAACGGTGGCAGCGTGGTCGGTTCGCCTACCCACGTTTACTCACTTCAGATCGAGGAGGATGTCCTTGATCTTCCCTTTCTTACGGCACAGACAGTTCCCTCCCTGCGTCACCTTGTAGTGGATGTTGTGGAAGCTGACGGTGGAGCCATGTCGTTGTTGTCCCAATCCTGCAGACTGAAAAAAAAGTTAAAGGAGCAGTATGTAACCACTCCTAGTGGTTAAAATAGGTACTGCAGTCTAAATTCAAAACATTATAGAGAGCTGTCTCCCCCCCTCCTCTCTAGAGTGGATGCTCACTCAGGTCACCATGTGGTGGACTCTGAAGCTTCAGTGTTTATCCAGCTCTGCATGGGTCTGTAAACCTTTCTGTGTTCTAACCTCTCTCCAGTTTTCAAAAGCATCTCCAATATTGATCCTAGTTTGAGCACGTTTCTGCTCGTGGAGCTTATTAGAAACATGCAGAGGCTTTTTAGGTCGGGTACAATCACTTCTATCTGAACCACTTCTCTTGACCGCTTCCATCGCTGCAACACCTGTTGACCTGATAACTGCTCTCATATCTGACAAACAGAGGGGCGTCCAAAACGGCCATGTGGGCGTGTCTTAAAAGTGCCTACCTTCTCTGGTCAAACAAATCCAGAGCATTCAGGAGCAGAATCTAAAGTTAGAAGGAGGACATACTGGCTGCTGCATTGTTGTCAGAGAAGCCAGCACTTCAACATAGCATGTTTCCTTAATGATCAGATAGTAAGATACCTTTATCATCTCACTCTCTACACAGCTCACTGATTGGATCTTTAATTCTACAGAAATAAAAGACGTACCTGGTGTTTGGAGGATCCGTTCACTCCCAGCTCCATCGTCACCCTGCTCTCTGACATCTTCTTCTTCCCTCCTCCTCGACACTTATATGTCTGTATGTAGAAACCTGAGAAACATCACGACTTCATTAGAACAATGATGAAACAAAAAGTCCTGTTCATAAACAGAAAATCAATAAAATCTGTATCACCCCTCCCACAGGTAAAAAAATAATGAATAAAAGAAGTGGTGAATAAAGGAAAACAGGGACTGACCACCTGAGGAAATGCTATGATCATTTTGTAATCAGAAAACTAAAGAGGTCGAAAGTGTTAAAATACATGACAGGAAAAAGGCCAACAATAAAACAGAGGACATACATCACATAATAAAACGCTGAGAGTCGATGAGCGTGAGGGAGACACTCGACGGTTTTAACTCTTGATCGAATGAAATACCTAAAAAAACAAAACACCCGTAGACACAATCGTTCCAAAATCATCAAGAGCTTCAGAGAAATCAGCTAAAAACAACAACAAGTCTGAAGATGATCAGCGGAAATGTAGCTAACGTGTTTGTGCATTTCAGACAGCGTGGAGGAGGACAGTTAGAATGGTAGTCATGGCAACCGCATGACAAGAAGCATCCCTCAACTGTAAAGTGTCTGACAGTTACAATCTGACCTCCAGCTCTCACTGAACAACAGACAGGCCGTGTTATCTCGTCTCTCCAGACATTTCTTTACCCAAACTGTTTCTGTTTTTCTGTTTTTCCTCTGTACACAAAACATTGAAATCACAAATGTAACTGCCGGCACAGTTGTTTACGCGAGGTCACACGAGGTCACATGAGGTGGTGCGTTCCTCCGTCGGGCTCGTTAACCTCGGTAACATCCTGTAGTCTGTGATTTAAAGTCCTCGTAGTGTGAGCATGTCTGTTAGGATTCTCCTGACGTGTGAGATGTGACCTCGTTTTAAAACTTTCCACTAAAAGACCATTTTTAACTTTTTATCAGACATTATTCTCCGTTAGTAGACAACCTATAATACGAGTGGTGAGCGACAGCGGGGTGAAAATGGTCTTCTCGTATCATAGCAACGGACTACCGCCCCCTGCTGGTATGGAGAGTTATTTCCTCTCACTCATGAGCAGAACGTACGTGGTGGTTGGCCGTCGGCTGAAGTCTTTGCGGTGTGTTCAAGTACAACTTTTACAGCCCTGTTAGAAACTGTTGGTCATGCCCTCTATGAAGTTGGTTCATCATCAAGTAAAAAACTAAAGCCAAAGAAATGAAGTCTCGTCTGTAGAAAAACTAAAATAACAACTTAAAATGTTTTCAGGTCTCAGGTAACAAATGTTTAAAAAAAAAACAGAAAAACGCTGACTCGTTCTTCTATTTGAAATTTTAAGGTTAAGAGAAGAAGACATGTTTACTTTGGATTTTTTTTACACTTATCTGAAATGTGACAGAAGATGAAGCTTGTCACGATACCAGAATTTAAACTTCTATATGATGCTGCTTCAAATCTAAGTATCTCCATACCTATTCCAATTTCAGTGCAAAGAAAACCTAAAGTCTGAAGCATCAAATATTTGGTTATTTCTTGTTTTCAACATTCAAAAATCGTGATAACTGTAAGAGAGTATGCAGGAGTTAGTCTGCAGTTTGAGTTGAAGTCATTCCTCTCCTGTAACTGTCTCATGAAATAGAAATCTTTCTTACCGAAGCCATAACTCTGTACAACAGCTCACCTTGTGTGAGCAGAGAACTGTCATCATGATAACATCTGTTCTCCATACTGTAATCTGTTCTGCACATGTTACATTTACAAATGATCCCTGCACTCATGTTCACCTCATTTGTCTGTTTACTCTCCGTTATATTGAATAGTTTCTGCTGATAACATGTCTACACTCCTTCACTTTAACTGATGTCAACACTGTCCATTTACAACTCTGTTTTTACACATTTACATTTAATCTGTCATATTTAATTTACAAACATTTAAGACTCTGTTTTTGCACATTTACATTTAATCTTCATATTTAAGACTAATAATGTTTAGTTAAATCCTGGTTGTATATATTCACATTCTTAGTTTTGATATTTTTAGTGCTTATTTACTTGTATTTAATATTATATTGTGTTTTCGGACAACCTGCTGCTGTAACGCCACAATTTCCCAGTTTGGGATCAATAAAGTAATTCTATTCTATTCTCTTCTCTTCTGTTCATGTCGGGTTTTAAAGCGGTTCTACTTCTGGAGACTATCGATGATTAAAATAACTCAGATTGTGTCATTAAAAATAATGTTGAGATATCGAAAAGTATCGAAGTTTCAACATTTTGACAAAATAACAAGACGTCATAACAACACGGTTTAAGTGATTATTAGAAACAACCTCTCTGTTTAGATCAGAAAATATTACGTTAAGAAAAAGTTCTAACACGATTCTATCTCAACAGATCAATCTCATGTTTACATTTACCTTCAACAACAACAACAACAAAATGTATAAACAAGCGCTCATCACTCACCTGCAGATCACAAAGTGTGCACGCTCTGCTGACCACCAACCAATGAAAACACCGAACAGTCTGCAGAGATCCGCGTGTGGGAGCTGTGGGAGCTGTGGGAGTGTTAAACCCCGTTTTATGACTGAAGGCATGATAAGAGAAGTAGGCAGAAGGGCAGTGATGTAATTCTCTCTCTGTATATATATATAACATGTTTTCCACAGCAGCCTCCTCCTTTGCAGCCTCTCTCTTTTAAAAAACACGTTTTCCTTCTGAACAGTTTCCTTTTCTTTCAGGATTAAATCTCTTTACTCCTCAGCACCGTTTTTCACAGACAAAAAACAAAATCAAACCAAGCGGCAACTTCCGGTGTTGACAAATAAAGCCGCGGCGGAAGTGCAAAAAAAAAAAAAAACTGCAGTTCCTCGGGTGTCCGCTAGAGGTTGCTTCCAAGAGACCCGGAAGTGAATGTTAAAATGTGAATTTACGCAGCAGAAATTAACATGTTTACAGAGTGGTAAAAACATTGAGTTGTTACTGTCTTCATTGGAAAACACCGCACAGGGGGTGAATTATTTTTTTCGGAGGAGCATTTCCAGCATGGAGACCGCCATCGATGGGACTCCAGCGCCCCCTAGAGGAACAGACGGGGGACGTCACTCTTAACGCTTCATCAGTTAATATTTACAGTCTCAGCTCCTTCAAACACCTTTCCAGAGACCCTTTGTTTTTTTAGCAGTTGTTTCCAAACGCTAATAGGAGTTAGCTTAGCTTAGCATTAAGATAAGATAATCCTTTATTTATCTCACAACGGGGAAATTTACAGTGTTACAGCAGCAAAGAGCAAAGATAGCAAACAAAAAGTGAACACAGTACAATTTAAATATGAAAATAAAAATGCATAAAAAATAGATAGATACCACAATGTAGATTTAAAAAAAATGATTTTTTTAAAAATAGATCAAAGACAAATCAGACAAAAACGTAGTCAGAAATTAAGTTAAGTCAAATTAAGTCTAAAATAAATGTTTAAGCTAGGCTAAGCTAACTGTCTCCTCACTTTAGCTTCATATTTGCTGTATAGAAAACAGGGACGATGATATATATCGTCTTTACCTGAGGAGGTAAAAGTTTATATTTTCCAAATGTTGGTCACTCTTATATTCATGTTTCACTGCTGCGTTCCATTTTTTTCAGAGGGATCCCGTCTGGCCTTTCTTAAAATAACAGTTTGGATAGGTCGATTAGTACTTAACATTGTGCTACTTCATATTCCTTAACCACCTCCAGGGAGGACAGTGACGGTCCCCGGCCTCAAGCACCCATATTCTAGGGGTCACAATCTGAAAAGTTAGCAAACCCCTGGCTTAGAAAATAGATTACGCACCCATACGGAGGCAAATGTCCTCAAAGTGGGCCGCCCAGGTACGAGTCCAGCTGAGGCAGGCCGTCCACCAAAGATCCCAACGAGACCTGAGAGCTCAGGGGAAAGATGTGGTTAGTTTCCGGTGCTTGACCTCGATATCCCACACCACCACATCTCTGTGTTCGATCTCTCCCTCCTCGTATCTGTGACCACGAGGTGGCCCTACGAGGCTAACAGCAACCCCACACATCGACACAATAAAAGACCTCACCTGAGTCAAAACTGAGGGATTTATTATCAATAGACAACTGAATCATAACAAAGATTAAGACTAATCTAATTTAAACACATCAACAAACAAACCCTGACTGAGAGGCGCAGACTTCCCTGAGCTCCCAAACGCCTCGCTCCTCCTGAAGTTCTCCTGAGGTCAGGTGAGCCTCCATCAGCAGCTTCACCTGAGCTGGAGAGAAGAGAAGAGACGAACAGGGAACAACATAAACTTCTCCTCTGGTTGAGTCTGTTCTTTTTAATGTGCATGGAAACACTGCCATCTGCTGGTGAGACATAAGAACTACAACACTGTTACATCAGGACTGCTTCACTTGTTATAGTAAAAAAGAAACTCTTCTTCTAAACTTTGGTTTAGTCCCAATATAGCCCTTGTCCCTTTACCTCTGAGCCCTAGTCCTACATTTTGCACTTTCACCTCTAGGGGGCGTCCTGAGTCTTGTGGGAATGGAGGGGGTAGGTGAAGTGTTTAGACTACATGGCCCTTTAAAGGACATTCTTGAGTGTTATTAGAAATCTCCCAGAATGCCTCTGACAGCTGATGACGTTTTTGGGCTTTTGAGGGTCATCCCATTTTCTATAGGGGGAGATTTCACCTTGTACCTCTGTTCCTGAAAATGAGGGGAAGAGGTAAAGATTAGAAATGGGACTGAGCCTGATGAAATGGTTGTAACACAGATTGTTTGCATGTCGTTTTATACACTGTGAGTATATCTTTAACCTTGTTGTTGTGTAATCACACACTCTCAGCACACCTCTGTAAGGTCAGCTCACACGCAGTCGGTCACGCGGTCCTCTGGGTCGAGTTCAAGTGTGTGTCCACGCACAGGGATTATGTGTCACTGACCTACTGTGTGCGCAGATAACTGTGTTTGTGTGCGTCGTTGCACCTTCAGCATCACCTTGTGGTCACGTGAAGGAATTTGAGGAATCTTAGGGGTGTCTATATTTTCCCGCTGACACTTGAACGTCTCGTGACAAAGTCGGGGTAAGGGCGGGAAAATTCTGAAAACACATCAAAGACTGTTCAGAGATTTTTTGACATGATTTGAGAAAATCCTGAGGACTTTATGAGCTTCAAAATGGCTCAAAGTGAAGTGAAGTAATTCAAAGTCAAAGTAGTAAAACTGCTGATGTGTAGCTAAAAGCAACGTTAGCTTAAAGGATCAATCAGTGAGATGTGTAGAGAATGAAATGATAAAGTGAGCTTACTATCTGATCAGACATTAAGGAAACATGTTGAAGTGCTGGCTTGTTTTTTTAAGGCGACCCCCCACACACACACACACACACACACACGGCCGTTTTGGACACCCCTCGGTTTGTCAGATATGAGAGCAGTTATCAGGTCAACAGGTGTTGCAGCGATGGAAGCGGTCAAGAGAAGTGGTTCAGATAGAAGTGATTGTACCCGACCTAAAAAGCCTCTGCATGTTTCTAATAAGCTCCACGAGCAGAAACGTGCTCAAACTAGGATCAATATTGGAGATGCTTTTGAAAAATGGAGAGAGGTTAGAACACAGAAAGGTTTACAGACCCATGCAGAGCTGGATAAACACTGAAGCTTCAGAGTCCACCACATGGTGACCTGAGTGAGCATCCACTCTAGAGAGGAGGGGGGGGGGGCAGATCTCTATGATGTTTAGAATTTAGACTGCAGTACCCATTTTAAACACTAGGTGTCAGAGATACATACTGCTCCTTAAAAAATGATTTTCAATGTTTTTGCATTCTGTGAAATGTTTTTGTAGTTGATTTTCAGGTCTACCATATGAGAGCCAGTCTAACTGTTTCCAGTCTTTTAGCTAGACTAAGCTAAGCTAATTAGTCTGATTTAAAGGTTTGTTTTCCAAAATGTTTTTCTACTGCTTTAATATTTTCATTAAAAATAAGAAATGATTGATGTATTCTATAATAGTAGAGAAGAATCTGCAGAAAAACAGAGACAAAGTTAAGTTTCAGTTTAAAATTACACATTTTATTCCTCCCTGCAGACAGATCACGTCATAGCTGGCGTCCACAGGGCGGTCAGAAGTCTGGAAGATGTTTTAAAATCCACACGGAGGTCAACCTGAAACTGCATTTCTAACTTCCTGAAAAGTTAATGTGAGAAATTTGAACCTTGACAATGACACCGCTGTCAATGTGACAAAACAAAGGAGGGAAGTTTAGTGTTCAATCTAAACACACACACACACACGAGCTACACAGATGAATAATCACATAAACAATAACGCTAACCTCTCTGTATGTACAATATATTACACACTCTATTTCCACTGTTCTCACACTCATACTACAGCCGGCTCGACTGTGAGTCAGCATGTCGCCTCACGATCATTCAGAGAACATCCAGAGTTTTGAAAAGTTAAAAAGTTTTGTGTCTCTCAAGTCAAAGTTATTTTGACTCATTCGATCAACAGTTTTGGAGGTCATGTGATTTTTTCCCGTGTTGTCGTCTACGCCCATCTCCCACTGGAGGCAAAGTTCCTGCTCATGCTGTAGACGGCCGAGGAGTTCTTGTGTTTCCCCCACGCTCCGAGAGGGATGATGATGATGGTGGCGTTGTCCTCCGAGCCGTACTGCGACGCCTAAAAAAAACATTTTCAAATGTTAACATAAATCACGTCAACAAATACCCTCTTAAGAGTAAAGCAGCTGTTCTGTTTTAAACTCTCTTATAGTGTAACAATGCTGGACGCTCAAACTAAACGTGGGCAAAGTTCAGAGCAGGAGGTAAACGTTGCCCCCCGGTGGTGGAATGAACTTCCAAACTCCATGTGATCTGCAGAGTCCCTCTGCACCTTTAAGAAAAAGCTAAAGACCCAGCTCTTTCATGAATACCTACTAACTTAATGATGATGGTCTCCATATTATTGATGATGATGATGGTAATGACGATGGTTTTTGTTTGATAACGACGACTTATAAGATGGTTTCTATACTGATTAGAGCTCTCAAGAACTGCCCTCAATGTTGTGCTTTGCCTCTGGTCACTTCCTGTCAGCACCTGTGTGTCCAATCAGACTCAAAGCTGATCGTTTGCTCTTACTGACATTGTTCGATTTTTTTCTGGAACCTTGCTTGTGTTGTTCTTACTCTCTGATGTACGTCGCTTTGGATAAAAGAGTCTGCTTAGTGAATTGTAGAATTGAAAACGTATGTCGGAGTAATCCCAGGATGAGTCTGCAGAGGGCGCTAAACGGCTTGTTCTGTAAATCACGGCATAATTCCCCGAGACTTTCATCAGACAGCTTCAAGCCTCTACGTAAGCTGCACATAGCTTACATAGACTCTATTCTCAGCCCTCCTCCTGGCAGCTCTGCAGCGTTCTGCCCCCCTGGAAGGCTTCCAGAGAGCTGGCCAGTATCAGATATATATGGAGGTTTTTAAGTGTGGTGACCTTTAATTTGCCCTAAAGCTTCTTTAGTGTCATTTATTTTCCTGGTAGCATCAGCCAGGCCGTACATACTCACATTTTCTGATTAAAAACATTTTAAAGATCGCTTAAGTTTGTACTTAAGTTTATAAATATTTCAGGCCTCTCGTCGAAAGACTTTCAAGATCCTCGGACATTGAAAGAACGTTAACGTTGTGTTTCCGCTACCTGCTGAGTGATGACATCAGCGGCCTCTGTCGGGTCTTGGCACTGCTTGATGACATCACAGATCTCCTGGTCGCTCAGCAGGAAGTTGATGCCGTCCGTGGTCAGAGCCAGGAAGGAGTCGCTGTTGTGCTTGACCTGCAGAAACGATAAAGTTAAAAAAAAAAAATTTTTAAAAACTTAAAAATATCATCAACGATAAACAAGAATCAAAACGACTGGAGGTCAAAGGTCAGACACAGCTACTCACAGAAAGTCGTCGCGTGTCCGGCTCTGCGATGACGCCGCTGGTTTTCAGGTGGAAGTCCCCGATGCTGCGGGTCATGGCGAGGCGCCCGTTGACGTTGGCCTGGCCGAGGCTGTTCCACGTCACGAAGCCGCCAAACTTCTTTATCCTGACCACGCAGAGAAAAACAGAGAACGCACGTTTAAGTTTGGAGGGAGCGCGGGGTTATGTTGGAGGCGTGAGGTAATATTTGTCTTTTTATATCATCTGATGACTCTGACTTTCCCTCCGCTGGTCAGGACACTGAAGCGTGCTCGTCACGTGTCGGGGTCGTCAGAGTTAAACATAGAACCCGTTCACTGTTACATAACTGAAGGTAAATCTGCAGCTCTGCTCTCGTTTCAGTGGACCGGATGACCCCGCTGTACGCACCCCCGAGTCTATTTATGACCTGATCCCCTGACTTCTTCCTGCACGGGTCGCTCCAGACCAGAACCCTTTGGACCAGGGGAGTTTTATCTGCATGTGTGTGTCAAATATGAAAAGTATCCGAGCTGAAAGTCCTTCAAAACGTTTCATGAATAACGCTCAATCGCGTTCATGTACCGTTGTTTCTCGTCTTCGCGGTCTGGCGTGTGGTCTTTGGTGAGTTTGGTGGCTCGTCCCTTCCTGCACAGCAACGCCCGGCTGTCTCCAACACTCCCCACCACCAGCTCCACACCGTCCCGTAGCATAGCAACCGTCGCCGTGGTGCCGGCCTTCAGGACAGAGTCTGAGAAGGAAGAGAGAAATAAAGTTCATTTAAAATGTACAGAAGGAGTGTGTGTGTGTGTGTGTGTGTGTGTGTGTGTGTGTGTGTGTGTGTGTGTGTGTCTCACCATTATTGAAGTAGCTGAGATGTGTGTGTAACGCCGCGTCAACATCCAAAAACGCTTTCTTTAAAACTTTCTCCAGGTCGTCCTCATCCTCCAGAGCGTCTCTGAATTAAAACACACACAGTCAAAGTTTTTCACTTTGTAGATTCATTAAGTTAAAAATATATATATTGTAAATAGGGCTGGGCACGTTAACGTGTTATTTTCGCGTTAACTTATCAATTAATTATTGCTGACAATTATTTTATCTCACATTAATGCAGTTTTTATTATTTATTTTCTTATTGTGAAAGTCTGTTGCTCACTTGCTTTTATTTTATAAAATTCCATCGTGAGCGAGCCTCGTATGTGGCTTACTGCTGCGCATGTCTGCTGCGCATGTCTGCTGCGGCGCTCACTGGAAAGAGGAAACAGTGTTGCCAACTTGGCGACTTTCTCGCTAAATCTGGCTACTTTCCAAACCCCCTTGGCGACTTTTTTTGTGAACAGCTACTAGCGACAAATCTAGCGACTTTTTCTGGTGTTATTGGAGACTTTTTTGGTGTAAGAAACTGACGTGAAAGCACGTATTGCTCTGCAGTTACTCAACGAGCAGCGGGTGCTGCCGTTAGCCCCTCCCCCTTCCTAAAGCATCACAGGCTGTCAGTGTAGCCTCGAGCAGCAGACCCAGCTGCAGTCAGAGAGGAGACCCACACCACTCTGCGTCCACACTGCAACCAATGCAATAAGCTTTAGTTTTGTATTTATTTGCTTTGATTACATTGTTGAAGTTGAGAAGTACATTTACAATAAAAGTGCGCTATACACTACTTTTGAATTCATTATTGGATTTTGCGTATAACAATGCGATTAATCGCGATTAATCACAGGAACTCATGCGATTAACGCGATTAAAACTTGTAATCGTTGCCCAGCCCTAATTGTAAACGTTCAGATTGTTCTACCTGATAAACTTCTCCATGAAGGTGAAGCAGTAATCGGCAGCGTGCGGGCCGCCATGCCCGTCGAACACGGCGAAGTAAAGCAGGTTGTCATGGATACGGCTGACACGGAGGCGATCCTCATTCTGCTTTCTGAGACCCAGAGCGGACGTGCTGCCGACCCGAGACAGGCTGACCTGAGAGGGGAAAGGTCAAGTCAACATTTCATCCATTTTTGTTATTTATCGTTTAGTTCATCTGGTGTTTATACATTTATTGATTTATCCAAACACGTCGCCATCTTTTTAATCCATTCAATCGTTTATTCCATCCATAATCCGGTCACCTGTGGAATGGGTTTTCCATATTTGATGCTGGAGGGCAGCAGGATGGGTTCTTCAATCCGGTTGTCCCAGATACCGAACGAGTCCCAGGTGACCGGCCGGCAGCTGCCATCGCTGTCGAAACGCACCGACCCGCCGGCATGACGCACGCCTACCACCCCGAACAAAGCCCCGCCTCCCTGCAGGTCACAAATCAGGAAATAAAAACAAGGTTGGACTCATGTTTTGGTTGTGAAATCTGATCATTAAAACGACAAAAATGTGAAAGTTTATTCCAAAGACCGATATTATAAAAGTGTCAATTTCTCTTTAACTACTTGGAAAGAATATCAATTCTGTCTAAATCTTTTAAAGGGGTTTGTTGTATGAATTAGTGAGAAAAAACACACAGGTGTGGATTTACCTGTCCACAAGCCGTGGAGGTTTCCGATGAGCAGCGAGCGGCGAGGAAGGTTTGTCGGGTGATGGAGGAGCGGCCGACACGCAGCAGGTTGAACAGCACTGTAGACGACATGGCCGACGTTTACAGCTGTGGAGGAAACAGCTGGACGGGCAGCGAGTCTCTGAAATGAAGGTGACAAAGGAAAATGAATTTAAATCGTGAATATTTGTTTTTCTTAGAATCGTTGGCTCTATTGATGGTACGAAATGCAAATGAGAGGCAGTGGTTCTAGAGTCGGACTGACAGTCCATAATCCAACAACGTTTACAACGATAGGAGAAAGCAGAACATCCTGTGTTATGTAATATGTTGGGCTATATTTTCAGATATAACTGGACGGAGAGCATCAGCTTGTTGACATTTAGGAGGATCATCTGTCCACCATTCTTTTTTATCAAACCTCACACTCTCTCTCTTTATGTGTGTGTGTCAGTGTGTGTACTTCACAAATAGCCCTACACCTCCTGCTGTGTTCCAGCAGCGTGTCGCCTCGTATCCATTACAAGAAGGTTAAAACGGCCAGCGCTCTAAAAATACTGCGCCCGAGTTCATCTGCAGAGTATCTGATTGGTTCTAAAGCCAACGCCTTCAAATTGTACAAAAGAAATATAAATAATAAAATACTCAAAGTGTATTTGAGCTGTAAGGATTCTAGATGTTTAACTTTAATGAACGAATAAAGAAAACCGGGTCGATTAAAGTGTAAAAAGCCGTCATATGGAGGACTATAGCCTTCGTATTTCACACAGTTTTTCCTCTTGCCAAACTGTTGTCAGAGTAAATACAGGTTTGCAGGAATCTTCAGGTTAACTCAGGTAATCAATAAAAACAGATTATTCTACACAGATTCAACCTCTCTGAACTCAGCTGAGAAAAGAGAGAGAGATGTTTCTCTGTTTGACCTTAAGAGCACCCAAACACATGTGACCACTTTGTTGTTGACAAAACAGAACAATGCTCACACAAGTGGACCAGGGGGCTACACACACTGACACACTGATACACAAGTTCAGGATGACAACCGACCAGGCTCGATCTTTTTTAGAAGAGCTTTCTCAAACGTGATTTAAAAAAGGAATTTCTATAGGTTAGTTATTAGACTTAAAAAAAATACCCCAGAAAGTATTGATAGAGTCTGAAAAAAACATATTAAAACAAAATAACAGGTGTAAACGACTCCAAACACGATAGATATTTGTATATACGATGTAGCCTATAGTGGTGAAATGTTAATAGTTATATTGTAGTATTTATGTACATATTTGATGTTAATTTAAAGTTAACATTTTTTGCTCCATTATATGTAAAAGAGGCTTAACTGAATACTTTGTAGACTTACATATTTTTAAGTACATGATCAAATATATTTACTTTAACTAGGCTAACCCATGGTATCCTAGTTATTAAAACATTAAAAATGTCAATAATTCCATATTTAGATGGTTGTGAAATACTCAGGGCTTGTATTCAGAACAAAATAATATATATTTTCAATTTTTTTATGCTGTAGGATATGTATTTCTAAGAAAAGTAACACTTGAACTGATATTTTTTCAAAGCAGGACTTTCAGTCGGCTACAGTCAGGAATTGTTTTAGTGCTTTTACTTTGAAAACTGACTTCTTCTTCTGCCAGGCATAAACAGCCAAAAGAATGCTGTCAGAGTACAATAAAAATACCTGAGGAAAGCCATTTCAGAGATAATGTGCCTTTGAGTTCATAACAAAGCTGTCATTTGTTTAAAAAAGTTTAAAAAAAAAAAAAAAAAAAAGTTTTGACAGGAGGAGTCAAAATGGCGGTTTAGATAAAAAAAAAAAAAAAAAACTCACCTGTTGTATCGTCTTTTCTTTAATTATGTTTTCCCGCCGGTCCTGTTTCCCTGGCAACAGGAGGTCCAGAGTTCCAGCAGCTGTCTGTTGATATTAACAGGAGGCTCGGCTCGAGGGGATTTAAACAGAGCGCGGCCGTCCAATCAGACTCCGAGAATGTCCGAACGTCAGAGGTGTGCCTTTTTTTGGCGCCAAGCCAGAGAACGGAAGAAGGTATGTCGAGCTTCCCTCTGTGCTCCCCCTCTCTATTTTCACACCTCTCCTCTTTTTCTTTTTTGTAGTAGGTAACCAGTACCTTAATAATCTACAATGTTGAATGGATTTTTTAAATGTTAAATAGTGAGTTTTTCCACTGTAGTATTTCTATTTTTACTCATGTAAAGATCAGATTTCTTCATTTCAAATGTCCCCTTCCACTTTTCATTGCAGGGCTGATGAAGGCATTCTGTATTTTTGATTCATGTTGGAGCAGCCCCCCCTGGTGGCTTCTTATTTACACATAGAACCATGTTAATTGTGATCCAAAGTTTGATCATTTTTCACCTAAAGGACAAAAGGACTAATGAGATAGGAATAACACATAATGGCGTCTCTTGTTGGGCGCCCCTCCAAAGATGAAAACATCATTATATTTTCTCTATCATGAAACATTGCCCTCCAGCGTTCTTTCGTAGAGGAAACGTATGGAGTTCCTCCTTTTAGTATTTTTCAGTCACTGCGGTGAAGTCTCAAAAACTAGTGCAAAGGTTAAAGTCTAAAGAAATGTTTTTATTGACAGTCAGTGAGACAGAAATGAGCTAAAAGAGCAAAACACACAAAGCTTGTTCTCTTGAGTGTTTGACAAAGATTCACCTTTAATCTGTAGGGCCAAAAAATCAAACATCACCTACAATGGGCCGACCAATCAGAGGACTTGGAGACGAGCCACATGTCGTAAAGATCAATAGAAAAATACCAAAACCTTTCCTCCACAGCTTTTCATCATTTCAACATTTTGGCAGCGTCAATATTAATCGGTGGTCAATAAACGAGACGAGATGAGGCGTACTCGACTCTGTGGACTTCTCTGTAAGTGAATCCCTCAACTGTCATTCAGTATGAAAACTTCACAAAAATACTTCCAATATGTGCACAGTTACCCGTAACCTTTCACTCTGTTTTTCAGTGCTGTGGGTTCATGTCTACTTTGTGAATGCGGGAAACACTTCTGATGGATCCTCATCTCGCAGTGAGTTGTTTTTCAGCCACCCCAGAATCTTCTATTTAATGCAGAACATCAAGTTCTGTTTTATTTCTGAACTGTGGATTAACTTTTAATGTAGATTTAGCTTTAATAATAACGATTCCCTCTTAGTCAACTCCCAACAGCAACTCCAAGTTTCTAACAATGGCTAGACATGGAAAGGAAGTCTTGGTTTAGATTAGTTACCACTAACCACTAGCTACACTGGATGATAGCTGGTTTTAAGATTGATGGCATAAAACACGCTTCCAGCATGTGGTAGGTCCCATATATACATTTAACGCAACACTATTAAAGCATGGACTACCCTCGTTTTCTTTTTGGCATCAGATTTACAGTCGCAGGAGTCGAGCACCAAGGAGAAACCTGTGGAAATTGTGGCAACACAAATGAAAGTCTCTCCTGCTTGGTACCTCAGTGAGGGCGACACTGTAGAGATCAACTGCACTACAATTGACGACAAAGGAAACCACAGCCACAAAATGGACCTGCTACTGTTCTGGACCAAGCTGGGCCCTGGAGAGAAGACCAAGACGGTTTGGGGAAACAACCTTTTTACCAAGATTTTACAGAAAGCTATTTTTAGGTTCCTTTCTTTTACACCATCAAGTGACCTTTCCTTGAGCCCCAAAACCCCTTAGTTATTAGACCTGTACAAACTGTGATTAAGCAACAGCACCATAGAAAAGTTATGCCGTCATTACACCGTTTTACTTTATTGGTGTCCCAGTGTTTGGTTTCACATTAAGCCTCTGATAGCATTCAGCGCTAGATTCCACAGTGTGAATGTACAAGTCATGAGCAGGGCTTCTTTTAAAAATGCAACGCAATCAAATCTTCATAGCTGGCTAACAAAATCAGCTTTATTTAAACATAGACAAACAGGTTAAGCAATACTTTACACTTAAAGTGAACAGCCAGTTGCTATGAGCTGTGACATTGAGATGAGAATCACAGTTAGTTGTTAATATGGTCTTGCCTCCTTGAACAGGTCCTAGTGAGGCAGAGAGCATCTACAGGAATCTCCTTTGTCCTGGGCCCTGTTACCCATGAGCACCAAGGAGTTTACACCTGTGACGATGATGGCAGCTTACCTGATGTTTATGTCAATGATTGGCACCGTATAATCTGGGTGGCTGGTTAGCAAGAAATGCTTATTCTACAATATAAAGAGACACTCTAAAATATTACAACTATGATATACATTAACTTATGTCTACCCCAATAACAGACGCCTCTCCCAGAGCCTCCATAGACGTTATCAGCCACAACAGGAGCCAGTTCCTCCATGATGAGCAGTTTACTTTGAGCTGCCAGCTGCCTGACATTAACTCTCAGTGGAAGATGATGAGGTTGGCCTCCTTACTTGAACTCATGCTCTGGATACAAGGAAAATCTGTACTTTAATTCATAGCAGTTATTCCAATAACTGTCAAGATTTTTCTCCAAGAAATAAAAATATAATTGCCCTGTAGGTCAGCAGTTCATCCAAGCTGGTGGATTTCAGCCTCTGAGGACAACAAATTTTAAAAAATGAATGCCATTCCCTTAAATAGATATTAAGATATTTCAGTGTCCACCAAAGTGATTGACATGAATGATTTTAACATCTCTAAAGCCATTGTGTTACTGTCTTCTAAGGTTTAACCAATGGTGGGGGATTATCAAAGAGTGTCCCAATCAAGCATCTTCAGATGGTCGTCTGTCCTGCACAACCACTTCTGACTATCCCTGGTCAGATGTTCTGTACTGGTGTGAAAGTGCATCAGGAGAGAGGAGTAACGCCCTCAATATTACCACCACTGGTACGCAAATTGTGTCTTTTATCACCCTAAAATCTTTTAAGCACTGTGTATGGATACACATAGGTTACTATTATCACAAAGATCCTGGTGTAATCAGCTGTAAACTGAAATGGCAGTTTGTGCATCTTGAGTCATGGATATTTTGAATATTTTTTCCCCCAAAATTACCTTTACCATCTCTAAATGTTTTGAACAATGGGCTCTTAAAGTTAAGACACACAAGAAGAAGAGCAGGTTCATAATTCTAGCCGGAAATATGAACCTGTCTCTAGCTAGTTTAGCTAACATTTGCTCAATAAGTTGGTTGAAAACTACGTCTTTAGCTGACTTTTTTCCCTCTCTGGGTGGATGGATGATGGATAAATGGATACTTGATTAGCCTACATTTAGAAAGCATCCACAAAATACTTTTATTTCTCATAAACTGTCTACAAATATGTGCCACAGGCCAATAAAAGCTCTCCAAAGTATCAAGGATTGCAAAAAGCTAACAGTTGGTTAGCAAGCTGAAAAGATTGTGCAATGTTGTTAAAATTATCTTTCTCGCTTCAGTTGGTGTAAACGTAACCCTGGAGAGTCCAACGCATCCTGTTTTGGAGGGAGAAGACGTGATGCTGCGCTGTCTACACCGAAACAAAACCACAAATACATTTACCTCCAACTTCAGAGCTGTCTTCTACAAGAACAATCGTCGGATCAGGTCGAATATTCTAGTATATGATTTAGTATAAAAGCAACTGAATCTTTGAATTACAGTTGTTGCGTTCCAATAGGACTGCTTAACTGAGCTTTAAAAGGAACACTGAGTGATACTGTGTTCGTTCTTTATTTCTCAGGATTCAAACTGAAGGCAACATGACTCTGAAAGCAGTGACCAAAGCTGATGAGGGGATGTACACTTGTCGCCACTCAGAGGAGGGATCGTCTCATTACAGCTGGTTCTCTGTCAGAGGCACTGACGCTCTCACAAAGCGACCTCACAAATACTGAAAAAACCCCAACAGAGCTCAATATGTCCACGCTACTCGGCCCAACCAAGACCAATAGAAGAACATCCTGGACCTTCAAACATTAGCTGGCAACGCTCCACCTCCAGGTCCGGTAAACTGCTCTCTCATTGGTCCATTAAAACCATTACTATAGAATCACGAGCTTTAAGACTCCATCTGCATTCTGTGCCAAAACTGGAGTAAAGTCTGAATCTGAATGCTCCTTGGATAAATACATGTAAACAAAAAGATTGTCTGAATACTGCTGTACAAAAGATGTTTGTACTGAAATATGCGAGCCCTCAGTGTATTGTAGAGTGAATAAAACATGGCGGAGGGACTTTGTTGTTAACATGAGCATGACTTTAATGTTTCTGAATAATTCAGAGGAGCAACCCGGTGCTCAAACAACCAACATGACTCCACTAACAGAGGAGTTATGGAAGAGGGTTACGATTGGATGAAAGGGTGAGTGAGATTTAGAGTGAGAGGAAGGGGAGGAAACGGGTTGAAAAGAGGACAAATAGAGGAGCAAGCAGATGAATGGGTGAACATCAAGCTCATCTGATGTACTGGTTTTCTAAATAGCACGAGGCTTAAAATCTGACGACATGAGAGAAACGAAGAAGCAGGAGAACATATTTTATTTTGATCACATTATAGAAACAAGCAAAAACCAACATAGTACATCATCTAAGCAGAGAAACTGTGTCTGTGTGTCGCCCCCTTCAGGCCAAACTTGCTACTAAATTCATGTTAAGTGACTAAAGTGAAATAAGAGGAAGGAAAGGAAGGGGAAAGATAGTCACGGGGGGGAAATGTAGATGAGGAAAAGACGGGGATGAAAACATGGAGACAGGGATAGTAAGTTAAAAATAAGAAAAAACAGTAAAGGAATTGGAAGGTAGAAAGAGAAAGTAGAATGTGGAAAATTCAAAGTTGAGCCAAAGGCAACTGGACTGGTTGAAGATTCAAGATCTTCAACCAGTCCAGCTGTCTTTGGATCAAGCGTCGAATTTACCATGACCTGGAGGACTGAGATCCTACACAGACATAAAAAAAGGAAAGTAGATGACAGTCAGGCAGTGAAAGACATGGGAGGACAAGGATAACAGTGACATGTCTGCGTAGATTCTCAGTCATCCAGGTCATGGCAAATTTGAAGTTTGATCCAAAGGCTACTGGACTGGTTGAAGATCTTGAAGACGTTTCCTCCTCCGAAAGGATTCTTCAGTTCTAAACTTTGTAGTGGACGGAGTTCGAAATGTAAGCCTCTGTGGATAATGATCAAGGATGACTCGCATCAGAATCGTTAGCTGAGCTTTTAATCCTAGTTTCCCCTAGAAATTTATAACTGAAAAAGCCTTTCGGTTCGGAGGAGAGGTGAAATGTCTTCAAGATCTTCAACTTGTCCAGTTGCCTTTGGATCAAGCTACAAGTTAAAACATGTAAAGCAAAGGGAAAGTAAGGAAAGCAAAAGAAGGTAAAGGAAAGAACAGGAATGTCAGAGAAACAAAACATCCGGAGGAATGTTGCAAAAAATATATAAAACATGTTAAAGAAAGGAAAGAACTGTGAATTACAGTAAACACTGAAGAAGTAAAGTGACATGCTTTGCATCTGATGCATTTGCTGAAAACAATCCAACACACACACACGTACAGCTGTGTGTTCTCGAGTGCTTGAGTGGTTTGTGCCGTGTTTCATAAAAAAAGGAAGTGGATGAAATATTTACCATCAGCACAGAGTAGAGAGTTGCTGTCGTCTCCAGTTCACTTCAACAACCACTGCTCTTTAAAACTCAAAGTACACAGGAACCAAAGTATTGCTGAGTTTCTTCTACTGCTCGCTGGAGACAACTGATTGTAATGAGTTTTTACCTGGCTCGCAGAATGTTTTAGTATCATTACTTTAGAGAGCACTGTCTCAGAGTAACCAGTGTTGTATAAGTAAGAGGAAACATATATGACTCTTAGTAGTTGTAGAAAACTGTAATGTTATGAAAATACGATATTAAAGATAAGCTTTAGTCCATAAAATATCAAGTCAATCAAGATATGGTTCCTGAGAATTCTGTTAGATAAAGGAACAAAATGCATTTTCTTTCTTTGTCTATGTTTATCTCATAACTGTTGAAGTATAAACTTGGAGGATGGGAGCAATTAGCAGAGGCTAGCCTAGCATAAAGACTGGTAAAGGGTGGGAGCTAGCAGGGCTCCAAAATACTTCAAAATACAGAATTTAGAGGTTTTGAAATGGCAGATGGTGGCTAAATTAACTCTTCTGCATATCTTTAAGATAAGTGAAGCTAAAGCCTGATTAAAACTTCTGCGTCTAATCTATGTTATTGTGGAAACTGGTCGCGAGCCCATTGTTTTGATCAGACTCTGAAGTCATGAAGTCGATGCACAAGTCCACTTGCAGACAAGGTCATGGTCCATTGATGGGTAAAACAAATACAGTGTTTTAAAGAGATCAGGGTTTGATTCCTGTATGCAAGAACATCGGTGTTTACAGTTATAGTTTTGGAAGGCTAACTGTTCGATGCATATTTAATATTCTTAACTTGACCCCAGCACCTTGCCAATAACAACGCTAAAGTGAAACTGCGATCAACAAAAATTGAAGCTCTGGGCCAAAGAAAGCTGACTGGGCTGCTGATTTTGACAAATTACGACGTAACTAAAATCTAATTTTAAAAAGTGTTTGTCATAAAGATCACAACATTTGTATTTTCTTTTAAACTCATATTTTCCGTTATTTTCAACCCAATGAGGGATTGTATTGCTCTTTAATTTCAGATAATTCCATTTGAATAAAATAGAGTTCTTTTAAACATTATTACTTTTGATTCCTAACCTCTGGTGAAGTCATGCAGGCCTCTCAGACTGAAGGCCTCAACAAACATCATGAAGAAGAGAGTGCTGTAAACGGTTAAACATGCCCTGTCTTCATAGTGTTGTGTTTTAAAAGTTTGATATTAGTGTGAGCTGATTCTCAGTCTGCCACTGCGGGCGCTTTCCTGCAGCATCCCAGAATCCCTCTTCTTTTCTTCTTCTTCTGCCTCTTCTTTAACCTATACCCTTTCAGGCTGTTAGTGGAGCAGATGGATTTCCTCAAAGTCGTGATGTGTTTCTCCTGCTCACGAATCTTCGACTCCAGGTGGGACTGGATCGCCGTGCCTAGACACTCCAGATCCAATGAGGCGCCATACACCTCCCAGGTCATCCCCTCTTCGTCCCGAGCCACCTCCTGAGGCTTCCCGGTCCCATCCTTCTGCTTTTTATTCCTTTCATTTTGCTCCCTTGCCTCTTTGTCGACTCCTTTTACACCCTCGTCCTCCTCGTCCTCCCAGATGCTCTCAGCACTCACGTCTCTGTCCTGGTTTTGTCCTGGTTGTAGCTGTGATATGAGGGAGCTCTGCTGGAAGCTGTATGTGCGCAGACAGGCGGGGAGGGAACTCGCCTTGTCCGTCACAGTAGGAGGAAGCTTGGTTTGGCTGCATAGCTCAATATCAATGTGGCAGACATGCTGAAAGGGCGGCTGACCGGCAGGGATGCAGCACAGTGAAGGGACTGTCGGCGAGGTCAAACTTCCTGACTGACAGCTGGGAGAGCCAATCAGAGGGTAGCTGGGAAACAGATCTACTTCTACTTGGATGCCCACCTCTTTTCTTTCCCCTGCCTGCAGATCAAGCCTCTCACTGGAGTCAGTCATGGTGGCGATGTCCTTTACTCTCTTGAAACTCCCATGAGTGGAAATTTGAGGAGTAGGACAAAGGGGAGATTGTTTCCCCTTCTTCTTCTCTTCTACCTTACTCCCCACACCTGTTGCCCTTGACGTTGGGATATCTTTACCAGTGGTAATGGCATTTGAGACTCCCAGGTGGCTTGGTTTTCTCAGTGTGGTAACCAGTGAACCCCCTGCACTGGCAGTAACATCTACAGCTTGCACTGCACCCTGGGATACAACTGGTCCTCCTACAACTGTCACTTTATTTTCTGGCAGTTTCAATTTCTTATCCTCGACGACATCGCCTGTTTTCGCCGGAGTCTTGGTGATAGAATCAAAAGTTAGACCGCGACTTAGACTGGTCGTATTGGGCGTTCTGTTGGCATTTGTTTCCACGGGAACAGATCCAACGGCTGCAGGCTCATGTGTGGATGCACCCCTCATTGTTAAGGAAACAGTGGTTCTGGTTTTGGGGCTGGATGCAGCCAAAGGAGTTAGCAGGGCTGAAGCTGCAAACAGAAAGCAAACGTTTTGACAAATATAAAAGAAACCCAGGTTCAAGCTGGATTTTATTGCAATACATACTGTTAGAACTCTATAAATGTATCTCACCTAGAGCAGAACCAGGACTCCTCTGGACTGCCTTGTGTAGTTGAGCCGGGCTTGTACCAAGACTTCTAGCAGGACCAGATCCAGGGCTCCTACTTGCTGAACTTGGACGTGGAGAGAGTGTCAGGGTGGAAGACAAATCTGCTAGAGCTGAATTTGAACTAGACCGAACTGGTATGGACTTTGAAGTATTCAATGTATCTTTTGGAACTTGACTGGGTTTAGTGCTGGAGCTCGAAGATTTGAGAATCTTTTCTTTGGACCCAGACAGACCAGTTCTTGAAGATGATGGGGAGATGGAGCCAACAGAGTCAGTCTTAGAACCAGGGGCGAGAAGAGAAGGTTTGGAGGTTACACTAGTTGGACTGGGTTTAGAAAGTACACCAGAATCAGTGCTGGGTTTCAAACTTGTTGGACTTGTTTTGCCAGAGCCCACACATATTTTTGAAACTTGACTGGTTGATCCTGCCTTGACACCGACTGGAACTTTAGAAAGGCTATCTCTAGATCCAATCTCGGATTTAGGATCGGGGCTTGCTTTGGAATTTGAGCCAGTTTTAGAATCTAAGCTGTCTTTTGATCCCAAAGTAGTTTTGGAAGCAGAACCACTTTTGGAATCCAGACTATCTTTTGACCCCATTGTTCCTTTAGCATTAGGGCTGGTTTTGGAATCAGAGCCTGTTTTATCATCAAGACTGTCTTTTGATTTTGAACTTGTTTTGGATCCAGAAGCAGCACTTGAATCCTTACTATCAAGATTCTCCTCTGACCCTGTCGTGTGATGGTTTCTTGTCCCAGCGGTAGCAGCTCTCCTCTGTGTGGATGGTTTCGGACTGAGAGAGCTTGATTGCGGAGTCTTGGTACTGAGCAGTGCCACTTCAACCTTATGATTTTGTGATTTTTGTCCCAGAGGAGGCGTCTCAGAACTTGGAGTTATTGCTTTATGTCTGGTTTGCTCGCTGGGCTTTGCACTTGCTCTGTCTGATTTCTGAGTTTTGGCTGTGATTGTTGGGGTTCGATTTGCCAGTTTTGGACTCTCTACATTTGAATCTCCTTTCTGATTGTGGACTTTGTGGCTTATAGGAAGGTGTAGTGTCTTTGGTGGCTCATGGCTAATTTCATTTCCACCATCCTCTTTCTTGTTTGGTTGCATTTTAAGGCCGACTGTTATTTTGCTTGTAGTCTTAGTTGTGAGTTCAGACGTCAGTGCAATATGTGATTTAGGCTTCGGGCTTGCAGATTCTGTTTTCAGTCCTTGTATTTTGCCCCTTTCAGTTGTTTTCAGGCTTCCAGCAATCGTTGTTTGTTCAACCCGTAGTGGTTTCGGACTTGCTGCAATGTGTCTGTGTATGTCCGCCTTGGGGTTCAGCATAGGAGTACGTTTTGGGTTTGGGGATTTCAGCCTTTGCTCGCCTCTGCTGTTCACCGAATCAGCTTTTGGTGAGCGAGCAAAAGCTGGAATTTTGCTCTTTTGATGTGATGGATCATCTTTCTCCCCAGGTGATGTCACAGGGGTGGTTAGTGTGCTCACTGGCCTGCCAGTTTCTGTAGTAACTGGTTTCCCACTTCCTTTACTTCCATCATTTTTTTTGTTCCCTCCTTGCAGCCTTAAGGTCTCGGCGGCTGCACGGGGGTTGCTTGGCGAGGTCAGATTGAGGTTGAGGTTAAAATTAGGCTCCACCCGACAATTGGTGTTGGGATCTGTGTTACCCAGGCCATCTGCAAGCCCTTCCTCCTCCGGAGTCGAGCTCTCTGACGGAACAACATCCTTGCCTCGTTTAGAAACGTTTGGTGATGTTTCCATCTTGATGGTGTCCAAGTTTCTAGCAGGTACGAATCAAGGTCAGCACCTGATCGGACAAATATATACCATTATCTGGCAAGTAGAATAATGAAGTTATTCATACATAATAAATGACAATGTATTAAGTACTTTATGTGTTATCAATCTGGTATTTATCGATCCATGGTACCAAAATGATTTGAACATATGACGATGGATCTCTTCATGAGAGGAGAGTAAACATTACAACTTTTGAAAAAAACACTGACAATGGAGGGAACACATTTCTCCAATGGCACACCAAGTCAAGTAAATTAATGATTATTATTTGTTGTTCAGTGTAATACAGGACAGATCTAGCATTCCTACACAAAGGTAGTAAACAATCTTTAGCTGCCACCATACTGTGTGTCCTAGTGGCTTGATATAAACTCAGTTATTACAGATTATTTTGTTTCCGTCAGCTGATTTCTGTCACCCTGATACCTCCTCCTCCTGGGATCAGATTTTTTGCTTGTTTGCCTTTTCCCTGTCGTGCCTGAAACTTTCACATTCAGAAACAGCTTCAAGCATCATTGCTTTATAGTTTCTATAAAGAGTCTGTTAAATAAAACATTTCTTTTAAGTCATGACTTCCCATTGATTCCCCTTCATTTTGTCGGTACATACCTATTCATGATCCTCGTTGGTCAAAGAAGGCGCAATCCAAGAAATCCCATTATGGTGTCTGAAAACTGCCTGCTGAGTCAGAGAGGAAAGCCTGAGCTGCTCCCTCCTCGGTGCTCTACCAGAGGATGCACTCATGAATAAATAAGAGAAGGCGGGAACGAGGGAGGAGATCATCATCATCATGATTTTCTCTCCTCCTTTAACCCTTCTTTTCATGGCTTCCTCTGTTCCTCTTTTCTTCTTCTTTTTACCTCATCTTGTTCCTCAAACCATTTTTTCCGTTATTTATTTCTTTATCTGCTTTCTCTTTTAAACCTTTATATTCTGGGTTTGGCTCTTCCTCTCTTATTGTCATTTGTCACCTTGTTATCATCGATTTACTTTTCATTACATCATTTTGTTCTCTATCCACTTCCATCCTTTGCCCCTTGTTCTAAAAAATAATCTCCGGGACATTGACAGAATGATTCACAATCCCGTCATCAAAAATAAATATTAAGGAAATATGTTATATGACTTATAGCGCAATGTTCAATGTCTGATTAGACCTTAAATTAATGGATCTAATGGACTTCCTGGACCATCTCCAGTGTCCCCAATTTGGGTTGTATAAAAAATGTAGACGTTTCATTTTCATCCATCTGTGCAGAAGATGTTTTGGAGGTATACGGTCGTTCTTGCTTTGTAAAATGTGAACAATTTTATTGTATTTACTCGAAGTCTGAGAACAATAAAATAAAAAGCACAAGGATTCAACCTTTGGTGACCATGCATATTTGAGCACATCCAACCAAATCAATCAAATAAATCCTGTTAGTGGCAGCTGCATCATGCAAAAGACAAATAAATTATACAAAGTGCTAAAATATGAATTAGGATCTAAAAATAGTGGTTGTCAGATTGAGGTGGGGATGAAGAATTTAGGATAGCTGTTTTTCAAGATGGCCTGATGGCAACAAAGACAATTCAAGTACAAGAACATATCAAGAAGGAGCCAAGATACAGTTTAGGCTTTCTGGAGGATTTGCTGGTTGCAAAAACTGTTTAGATCTTTATGAGCTTGTTTTGCTTTCAGCCTGGATGGTTGTGAATTAAAATAGAAAGCAAGTTGAGGTCTTATGTAGAAAGATGTAGAATGAGGCCAAGAGAGTCATGACTTAGCATTACCTACCAGAAACTTCTCCACAGTTCTGCTGAAGCCTCCTTAGCTTTTTTGTTTTGTTTTGACCCTTGACGTTATTAGCTCGCCTGTCACACCTTCCTCAGCTGTCTCAGCCAACAGGATGCTGCAACAGTGATGCTACCTGACAGCAACAGCTGACTGGGCATTGTCCTCTAGTGTGTTTGTGCTTGTTCTTACACCAGCAGCAAGCCTTTTTATTTCATCGATGGATGTGGAACGGAGAAGACTAGAAGGGAAGCTCTTTCCGCTGTTTTGTCCTTATTAAGGAAAACTTGGCTGACTATTTCAGACTCTGACACAGAAATACTCCGGATTGAAGAAAACCGGCTTTAATTTGGACGTCGTCCCGTTGAGACAACAACATGTTGGAGGAAAACTCAGATACAGAGCAGTAAGTCTTCTCTCTTTTTCTGGTAAAAAAAATAAAATACAACAGCGTTTCATTTGCAAGTTTAAACTAAGTATGCAAGTACTTAAATCAGAGGGCAGACTTTATTTGAGACTACTATTTTAAAAGTATAAAGAGAGCTCTAGAAGGTAGAACAAAATATGACCTTTGACCTCAGGTTCGTAGAGACAACACATGACACAAACTTAAGGTAAAAACTACAATAGGTAACCATTGACCTGTTAGCCAAGAAGACAGCAAAACCATTTAGACCTTTAGCAGCGTCTGGTGCTGCCAGTTGCTTGTTGATACGATTGTTGGGTTGGTACTTAAATTGCAAAATTACCGGTTAACAAGCTAACTGAGCTAGAAGGATAAATAACAGGAATAAACTAGAGTAGTGACTACATCTTGAAACGATGATGGATTAGCTAGTTAGCCAAGCTAACACTCAACATGTTGGCAAACCGTGGAAGTACATGGTTATGGTTAGCTAGTAAGTGAGTGAGTGCAAACCAGAAGTCTGTAAAATGTCCGAACCTCAAATCAATGCTTTGCTACATCTGCAATATTTTTTCAGTCTTTGGTTATAATTATTCAAATAAAGATAATCTGTAAAGTTTTTTTTCGCTGTTTTACTGCAGTAAACAAGCACCCTGATGCTGAAGCTTCGCCACCAATGAACAACATGAAAAACAGATTTTTTTTTTGGGCTTAGACTTTTCATTCTCTAAGTATACAGTTTGTGTGGGTATTATAAAGTGCATGTGTTTCGGTGTTTCTGCATGTCGACCAGTGAGGTCGGCGGTAAGCCTGACTTCTCGCCAGTGTCTTGGCGTGAGTATTTTGACCAGATGGAGGATGTGAACGTGGGACCGGCAGACAGCAGGGATGTCTTCAGGATTTATAAAGCAGGAAATGAAGGACCTCTACTGGTTCTGCTGCACGGAGGAGGACATTCAGCCCTCTCCTGGGCCGTCTTCACTGTGAGTATTGGTGAAGTCAACTAGATATTTGAATGGCTGACTGATGATGTCTATATCCTTAATATCAGCAGACTGTCTTAGTGTTTTTTTTTGTTTTGCAGAGAGCCATTGCCAGCAGAGTGACCTGCAGAATACTTGCCATGGATCTCAGGGGTCATGGTGAGGGCAATAAATAAAATGGTTAATCAAATAATTATGCAAAATGGTAGGTATGTCAAGATTGTGGATTGCGTCTGAGCTGGGCTGGAAACTGGAAAGTAAGCAAGCATTCCCGCTGTTATACTTTCCGTTGTTTAAACCAACCAACCATTATGAGTCTCTTCCTCATTATGGTTGGGCTCAGTCTTAAAGATAGCGAATAAAACTAAAGAATCCGCAGGAAGCTTGGCGTAGAGCCACTATCTATTGGCACAGAAAAAGAGCCAGTTGAGGTGGTTCGACGTGATCCTGAGATAGACCCAGAGGGATAACATACCCCATTTTGAATCTGATCGCTCAGAGAGGGAGGAGAGGCTGAAAAACTTTGCAGGGGAGAGGGACGTTGGGACTGGGACTAGAAAGTTATTTACAGCTGCTAAAGTATCTTCTTTTTTATCAACATCAGTGTAGAGCACTTTGAGTTGTGATATTGAGAAAGTTTGTTTTCCATTAGGTGCAACCCTGGTCCACCAACTAGACAACTTCTCCACTCAAAGTATGTCAAGGTAACGGCACACGATCACCCACTTATCCTTCTTATCTTGTTTTAACAACAAAAAACTACAAATGCGAGAGGGGAGCTGCTTGGAGAACCACTACTAGTCTCAAGTACTGAGACAAATACTGCTAAGCTTATAACCACCACTCCCATGCTCCCTGACTCTCCTCAGTGATGTAGCCAGTGTGATTCAAGCATGCTACGGAGAGACTCCTCCCCCTATCGTCTTGATTGGCCACGGTGTTGGGGGGGCGATCGCAGTGTATACAGCCAGCAACATGCTGCTACCTACCACTGTCGGGCTGGTAGCTATCGATGTTGTGGAAGGTGAGTTTAAGCCTTGGAGGCTCTTCAATACTCAGACATAGATGGCAATATTGTGTGTTCATTGTATTTTTTTAAAACAAAATATCTTTTATGTTGACATAACCTCTTGGTCTTGTTTTTGCTTTTTGTAGGCAGTGCAATGGATGCACTTCACAGCATACAGAACTTCCTGAAGGGAAGGCCCAAGTCCTTCAAGTCCATGGAGCATGCAATAGAGTGGAGGTGAGCGCTCAAGGAGCAATTTATATTTCTCATTTCAGTAATGGTCAGCTGTAGTCCAGTTCAAAAGATGGATAGTCATTTTAAAATGGGTTGTGGCGGCTGTTATGTGGAGCCAAGCCTGAATACCCAAAGGGGGCCTACTCATTTCGTCCTTTGTCCTTGGAGTCCAACATGGGCTCGCACCATTGAAGTGAAGAAACACCAAGTTTGAATTAAGACCACTTGGTACCCACCCAGTATCCTAGTTCGTAGCCTGAATGGCATGACTTCATCCAACCCATTTTTGGATTGGGCCAAGATACCCAAAACCCAAATGAAAGCCTGATTTTAGCCCATGTCCAGTTTAAACCCAGTTAACAGCTACATGGGCCCGTAATCTGGGACTGCTTGAGGGTTTTGAGCTACACATCTGGCAACACTATTCAATAGGTTTCCCAAACGGACGTAATTTATGGTGAACGTGAGTATAATAGATCTCCTTTAAACCATTCTGAAAAGGGTGAGCATTAGTCTAAAGCTGAATAAACTGAAGAACTGATGAGTCCTGTTTCCCGCTTTGTTCTCTTTCAGTGTCAAGAGTGGACAAATCAGGAACCTGGAATCTGCCAAAGTGTCAATGGTTGGTCAGCTCAAAAGGTAGGTCATCTACTGAGTGGCTTTTCTTCTTATCCTGTCTTAAAAAACTGTTTAAAATCACTTGATTCTCTTTTCCTGATGTGAAGATGAAACTTAACTCAGTATCCAGATTATTAACTTCCAGACGGACAGAAAACAAACATCACTGTGACAAACTAAACCCTTCCTGACTCACTTAGAGAACCTCTCTCTTCTCAATTCTGTAAGGTGTGAGGTGGAGAAAGCTGATTCTCTGGAGCAGGCCAGCCCGGTGACCGATGTGGTCGTCGAGCGCAACGAGGAGCCCAACGATCAGACCTATGCCAATGACGAAGAAAACGCGGCCTCAGAGGTGAGCCAGGTATGAAAACAACCGCACCGAAGAAAAACTGATTCTAAAGAAATGTTTAATTGGAAGGACGGAGAGGATGGACTTTTCTCATCATTGGGGGGTTTGCAGACAGACTAGGGACTCATTTTAGAGTTAGAACAACATGGTGAAGTGGATTATGTATATGTGACCTTTAACCCTTTAAAAACATGCAGATGAACTTCCTTGAATTGACTTGCATGGCTCTACATTTTACTAATTAAAACCTGTAAAACAACAATTCCATTGACTTTGATTCCCAAATATCTCCATCTAACAACACATCAACATGTATGAAAATACTCGACCTCCAACATACTACCATGTCACTCCTTGTGTTCGCTTCCCAGAGTGTGTATAAGTGGCGTATAGACCTGTCGAAGTCAGAAAAGTATTGGGAAGGCTGGTTTAGAGGAACCTCGAACCTCTTCCTGGCTTGCAACCTGCCCAAACTCCTGCTACTTTCCGGTAGGTATTTCAGGTACAAAGCACGGTCTCCTGTAAATGACGTGCTGTAAAATATAACATTCAAACTGTGAAAAGAAGTTTAACACTTAGCTGACACTGCTACTGTTTCCAGGTATCGGTCGGCTGGACAGAGATCTGAGTATTGGCCAGATGCAAGGTAAGACACTAACCGTGCTAACGTATCATAAAATAATACTAGAACTTCTCTCAGTTAAAAACAAAAGGAGCTCAGACTTGTTGGACGGTCTTTTAGTAGAATAAACCCAAACGGCAACCTCCAGTGTTGACAAATTGAACAAATGTGAAAGTGCAAAGATGTGCAGTTCCTCGAGTGTCCACTAGAGGCTGGCACCAAAAGCAAAAGGATCCCCATCAGGTCTAGTATGAAAAAGCTTATTTTTAAGGCCGGATTGAAAATGTTTACAGCCTGGTTCAAAAAGCAGTTCTGGTCGAGACGGCATTTTCAATATGGAGACCGGCATCGTTGGACTTCAAAACTTTGGCTGTGTCCGAAACAGCAGACTTTAATGCTAATCATACTTAATGTGATGTCACATTGAGTCTGTAAAACGATCCGAAATCATAGTATGCAATTTGTGTACGCTTAAAATAAATACATTTGCATGTTGCCAACTTGTATTAAAATGACTACGTAGCTGTATTAGCAATGACCGTTCTCATATTGCTGTCGAATTATATTTACGGACCGACGGTCGCTAGCTTGATGCTAGCTCATTGAACGGAGCTCGGACTAGGAGAATAGCGCGTGACCTGTATTTTATTCTGATGCTAACGGTGTGCTAATGGTTGGGTTAGCATGTAGTATGTAAATTTGAAGTATGTAGCATGTGGTTTTGGAAACCAGTTAGAGACGTCACTGAGACTGCGTCCATTTTTAGCAACATGAGTTATAGATGGATATTTTAACATGGGGCTCTAATTTAATCACTTTTGGAGAAGCCCCTTGTGGCCATTTAAAGAACTGCAGCTCTGCATTGGATCTCATTTCTCAGCGGAGACCCCCTCGTCAAGCAGACTCGGGCATGGTACGTTTGTGGTCACACTGATGTAATGAACCAGCCTCTGGGGTCAAGCGGATTCTGATCTGGGCGGGTCCCTGATGTGAAACCGGCCTTAAAGACACCGGGTTATTCATACTGAACTAATGTTCTCAGTAAATCTAAATTATGTAAAGACAACTATAATTTTACCACTTGAGAGAGTTTTTCATTTGTAGATGAATTTAAAAACTTTAGTTCAAGGGGCTGATGGGTTATGTAGTCTTACGGACAAAATGCCTCAAGCAGAGAAACACGGTCACGTTGGGAATAGCTGACATTTTTTACTTTTCAACACTGACTGTGACGGAAAGGTGAAAGACGTGATCACCAAGGCAGAGACATGTGTAGTGGCTCACACATTTACACACGGACATTCTCAGATACACACACCTTGAGGCGGCAGCTCCTCTCCAGAGACGGCTGGTCCTGTCAGTCAACAGATGGAAGTGACAGCCCAGGAGAGTGTGTGTGTGTGTGTGTGTGTGTGTGTGTGTGTGTGTGTGTGTGTGTGTGTGTGTGTGTGTGTGTGTGTGTGTTTTACAGTCAGTTCAGAGTGTGTACATGTCTCGTTGTCTCTAGGTAAATTTATGATGCAGGTGCTGCCCCCCTGTGGCCATGCAGTGCAAGAAGACACACCTGAGAAAGTAAGAGCAAAATATCTCAAGTACTCAAAAATATAATTTAAAGGTACTTTTACTTTACCCAATTAATTATTTTGTACATTAAGATAATTTATTCATTACTGGGATCAACTGATCTAAATGATGATTTCTAAGCAGTAAGAACTTTTACCAACTGCACTTTTTCCAGTTGACACTAACGTTGTAATCATGGTCGACATGTGGCAGATGTGGACAGATTGATCCCCACCTACACTGAGTCATTTTAGTTGAATATACAGATCAACTCTATTCATCTGAATTTCCACTTAACCCATGAAACATTGATTTATCCATGTGTGTAGGTGGCTGACGCTGTGGCCTCCTTCCTGTTCAGACACAAGTTTGCTGAAGTCAGAGGGGAAAATAAATGGTAAAACATTGAAATAACTTGTTGAATAATTACAATAATAACATAAATATGCGCTTACTTAAAACTCAAGATAACGTCTTTCCTTTTTTTCCTGCAGCTCCAACTCTCTATCACGATGAGGTCTGCAGGTAAGACACTGAACAGATGACAAAGCAGATCAAGTAAAAATAATCACTTTTAGTGCTGACAAACATTTATAGCAACGCCAGTAAGACCTCAAGAGAAAGAGGATTTTTTAAATTCGTTTTTAAGACAAGTTTGCTTAATGACCGCCGACAGTATTTTCTCCAAAATAATCAGAAACATAAAAACACACAGAAAGCTTCTTAACGCTTTTAACGCCTCGTTGTTTAAACATTTTCTTTCAGATAAGCAAACACGAGCTCCATCCTCCAGCCCGAAGAAGACCAGTACAGACGTCCATTTTTATCACCGACCTTCATTGTTTTGCAGAAGTAGCTGAAGTCTTTAGTTTTAAACCTTCAAAACGTTACCCAGCTGTTGCACAGTTACAATTCTGCTCTTATTAAAACCAAAGTCAACAATAGTCGTTTTTGTACCCTAACCCATCTGACGGAACAAAACCGTGGCGCTGACAGGACACAGTGCACACGGGCTGTATGGAAATTGTCTGACCTCTCGTAGTCACAGGATAGTTTCTGGAGAGCACCTAAAACTTTTTTTATTTTTTTAAATCTTCCTCCCATGTCCCCTCAGGGGCTCGGCTACGACTCCGGACTGCAGAATTTAAGCAAATAGCAACTAGCTATCACGTCGGCTGACGGTCACTGCTACCTAGCTGATTAATTGAGAAGTAATGATGTAATGAAATTTAATTTGTTGAAGCATGAGACTGAAATCTTACAGAATTCTTACACTCCTTGCATGGTCGTGTTATCTCACTTGTTTCCTCAAAAAGCAAAAACATCACGTTATTTAACCACTGTTGCTTCCTCTAGCTAGCTTGTTTAGTTATTCCTCATGGATGATTTTTAAACTACCTTTGTTAGTTTTTAGAAGCTCTCTGTTTTGTATTCTCTTCACGTACAGTATGTAGCGTTAGCACCCGTTAAGCATTATCTTTAGATGAATGTTGTTGTTCAGTATAAACTTCACTGTGACTCATCTCTGTGTCCTGTTTGTGTCTCTGTGAAAGTGATGCTTCATGTTTACTGAATTAAAAGATAAAGGTATCTTACTATATGATCAGACATTAAGGAAACATGCTATGTTGAAGTGCTGGCTTCTCTGACAACAATGCAGCAGCCAGTATGTCCTCCTCCTAACTTTAGATTCTGCTCCTGAATGCTCTGGATTTGATTGGACCAGAGAAGGTAGGTACCCCTCGGTTTGTCAGATATGAGAGCAGTTATCAGGTCAACAGGTGTTGCAGTGATGGAAGCGGTCAAGAGAAGTGGTTCAGATAGAAGTGATTGTACCCGACCTAAAAAGCCTCTGCATGTTTCTAATAAGCTCCACGAGCAGAAACGTGCTCAAACTAGGATCAATATTGGAGATGCTTTTGAAAAATGGAGAGAGGTTAGAACACAGAAAGGTTTACAGACCCATGCAGAGCTGGATAAACACTGAAGCTTCAGTGTCCACCACATGGACTGCATTACCAATTTCAAACACTAGGCATCAGAGTTACATATTGCTCCTTTAAAAATAATAAATGATTGATCTGTATCTTTGGAAAGCTAATTTGTGGAACAGAAGCATTAAAACACACAATTCTATGAGACATACAGTATAAAGATTCAGCCGTACGATGCAGACTGCTCTGCTAAATATTTTATTTAAAGAGAAATCAGAAGATGACACACAAACACAAAACTGGGATAAAAACAAAAACTTGCAATAAATTTTATTTAAATTCTGGCCTGAATCAGAACACGTGCAACAACTGAAACACAGAAACAGCATGGCATCAACTCACCAATTGTATTTACACGTGTATGCATTTCTATGTTTGCGTGCACAGGACAACAACGCAAACGGACGCTCTGTCAAACAATTAAAATACCAGAAACACACACACACAACACAATGTCACACCCTGTTGTCATGGTAGCTGAAGAGTTAACATGGCCACAGACGCAGCAGATCGTTACTCAACTCTTGCCGTCTCTCTGGAAGGATCTTAACTATTGGCTCCGTTCTTCTCCGTTATGCCGATGACACCCTCTTCTATAGCTGAGGTCGAAGGCAAATTTTTTACGGTTTTTGCCTTGCCAAAATCGTTTAAATCCACTTACACAGGCTTTGTGTTGGTTTTTGTATTTCTCACTCTATTCTCTGAACACCGGCCATGTGTTTATAGGCAGATGTTGGAAATTAAGGAGATTAAAACATTCTCCTCGACTCTTAGTGGGACATTGTGGCTTAAGAATCGCCTGCTTTAGTGATGAGATTAGAAAGTACAACACAGCTCCCAAATATGGCAAAAAATATGGCAGTCTATCTACAAACATAAACAGTTTGTAGATTAATATGGCCCAGAAAGTCTTCTCCTGACCCAGAATTCACAACATAATCAATACCATTAAAAAAAAAAAAACAGAACAAAAAAAAAAACCCACTCATTTTCAACAATCGAATCATTCAGAAAAACGAGTCAAACACCGAATCAAAATAACACAGGGGGAGGTATAGATTGAGAAAAGGTAGGATTAAATTAAATTAATTCCGAAATTGAAAGTAAAAGAAGGGAGACAGGGTTTTCCAGAACCTTCCAGAGAAAGAGAATTAAAGTGCATCAACAAAAACTGCTGAACAACCGATCAAAACACAGCATCCCGGAAAGAACATAGAACCAATCAGACGTCATTACTGGCAGTGACACGGGGGTCCCATATTTAACAATTTATCAAAAGTACAATGTCTATATTACATATAACTATCGAAGCGTGTTACCTAAAAGACATTCATTATTTACGATTCAGAACTTGTGTTAAGATGAATCTTTTTGAGATGTAGTCGACATAATTGCACGTTATGTTCTTCTGTTTAATTAGTCGGTTGGGTTATTTAGAAGATATTCGTCCATTTGTTACAAAGTAGGAAACTTACGATTGAACTTTTTTAGCTATTTTGGCTGTGGTGCGCATGTGACTTCAGATGCTTCTGCAGCCAGCCTCTAGTGGACACTCGATGAACTGCAGGATTTTGCACTTCCAATTTTGGCTTCATTTTTCAACCCGTGAGGTAACCACTTGGTTGGCTGATGCATTTCACAAAAATTGGTCGAAGAACCAAAATATTTAAACTGAGAAATATGGCAAACAAACTAAGTCAAAAGTTACATTTTGTCCGAGTAAAGAACCACGACAAAACAAAATGGCATCAAAGTGGCAAAACATCCGATTGTTAGCAAAAGTCAACGCCAGCTCTCTGTGCTAATTAGCGTCTACTACGAGGTACTACAGAAAGGTTTCTCTTCACAATAAAAGAGTATTTGAGAATCGACGTTGATACCTGGGGGGACCCCTCGTGCCATGGCAGCCTCGGTCTACACAACAAAATAAAGATTCGGTTCAGTTCTTTTTCACTACTGCGGCCGCAGAGTTGCAGTCATGAAAAATAAATTAGAGAAAGAAAACAGCAAATGTGAAAAAAAAAACATGAAATCCTTAAAAAAAAAAGCTTACAACACAAAGGAAGTCATTTTAATTCAAATATTTTGCTGAAAATTATCCAAGAAAAGGCAAACGTAAACGGGTCAATCATTCATATATTACAACGAATACGCTCGGCACCATTTTTTTTTACTAGTGTTTAAATTAACTAGTGTTTGTCGTCTACTAGATAACTGAGTGAACCGAGAGCCCTGAAATGTAACTGTGAGGACAGAAGAAAGATTAGGAAGCAAAGTAGGAAGAAACTTAAAAACACTTAAAATCTTTCGAGAGAAAACAGACTCAGAAGTAGGACTGGAGCGCCGACACAAAAACGGCTTTTTACTCTTACAAATGTGTACCATTTGATTTCCCCTGAGCCAAACATTTCACCATTTAAAACCCAATAACAGTCAACGTTTATAGTTTTATTTATTTCTGGGGCTGTTGGTCAAATTGGCTTCGTAGTCAACGCTGTTAAGACGTTTTGAACGCCCGAGAATAAAGTTTTCAAACAGCTCTGCGCTGGTGGTCCAGTCTACACTCTGACTCCGTTTTCTTCAGGCTACATCGACAATCAGATCCTGAATGTTTAGAATAATTTAGCTTCATATCATCAAGGTCCTTTGCGTCCAGTATGTATGTACAAATACACAAATAGTCAACAATTAAATCTGCCCGCTCAACGCTCAATCACATTGAGAATCAGCAGGCCGTGCTGTATCAAGGCGGGGGAGGGGCGGGGGGGTCAGTCTTTGCTGCTTGGCGTCTTCATTACAAAAATAAACGTCTTTTCTGGTATCAAAATAGACGACAATCTTTATCTTTCTAGTATTTTAAGGGAAGCCCACAGCGCCAGAGACACCATGACATGATCGCAGTCTGCACGGCGGTTTGGCAAACCGACAGTGATGCCAGGTGGAGCAGTGAACACGTTGAATTTACATTTTTTATTTACATCCTCGGCTCTCAGCTGAACTACACTCACGAGGGCAGGGAAAGATATTTAGCGACTAACTCCTTTCACTTCCTGTGGTCTGTCACAGTTTGTTTTTGTGGCGTTCCAATGGCAGCTTAAGCTTCTCGTGGTGCACATAATGCTTCTTATGTTAGCTTAAGTTCAGAGAAAAGATCCCCGACCATCAAGTAAAACATCGAAACTGTGATTGTCAGGGTTGTAGTTAAAATGGTTTAAAGGCAGCACGAGGACAGGGTGGCGGACATGTTTGGTCAGGGCGACGGACGGACAATCGGACAAGAACACAAAGAAACACCAGAAACAGGGTTCTGACGTGGCAAGCGTTACGACTCTTAAAAGACGGCCACGATGGAAGACTGATGAGGAAAGTTTTCATCTTTTTAACTTTTGGAAGGACAGTTCCAGTATTTTCAAACCTCAGTCCTATCTTTTATATTCTAAACCAATTGGAAATATTTCATGGCTGCAAAGTAATCATTGGGGTTTAAAGGTGACATATCCTCGTCCTCCTCTTCAGTTTAAATAAGTCTCAGAGTTCCTCAAAACATGTGTGTGAAGTTTCTTGTTCTAAATCCACTCTGATCCTGTATTTGATCATGTCTATAAACCCCTCTATTTCAGCCCTGCTCAGAACAGGCTGTTTCTGTGTCTGTACCTTTAAGTATGTAAATGAGCTGTGTCTGACCACGCCCCCTCTCTGGAAGGGCTTGGGTGTCTCGGACTTTCTTGCTCCATGTCCTATTGTTTACGGTGAGAAGGCAGACTCAGAGGGCAGAACAAACACCTAGCTGAGGGAGTGTCACCCACCTGGGGGGGGGGGGGGGGGCTACTGCCCTTTGTGATGTCATGAAGGGAAAATCTCCAAACGGCCTGTTTGAGCACACATTTTCTGACCTTTTTCTATATGAAAGGTCTTTATAACTTCTCTCTCTCAAAACAGTAGCTTTAATTTTCGGGGGGGCAAGTTTTAAATCCAAAACCTGTCTCGTTCTAAAATGAAGGACTGACTGAATTCCTTCCGTTGTATCTTCATTTAGCTTTTAGCCTTCTTCTAAAATCTGTCAGAATCTTTCTAATCTGTCGTCAGAACTTTCCACTTCTGGGTTTTCCCCCTAACTTTCCGTTCAGGGTGTTTTTGTCCACAGTGTTAATGATGTGGTCATCTGGTTGAATGGACTTGGACTGACAAGGTTCACAGGCCTCAGTTTGAGTTCCCAGTCTTGGGAGGTCGACCGTTTCGTAGGTTCAAACCATGATGCTTGGATGGTTGACCATGGTTGTCATCACTCTTAATGCAGCTGAAACTCTCCTTCATGACGACGGCATCTCTTATCTAATGTCTGAAATATCTCCCACTCGTCTCACATGTTCTACTTATATCGATCTGTGATTTACAGTTTACCAGCCTTTAGGAGTCTTGAGACTTTGTACGTTCAGTCAGGAGTATATCTTAGTGTCAGGTCTCTGGATACACAAAGGAACCCTGTTTGGAACTACAAGCGAGGACAGAAAGCACCTAAATCAAATACTGTCCGAGTTCTGTTAAGATAAAGAAATCTTGAATTTTACAGACAAGCTTAACAAAATACTGTGTAGTTATTGGTCAATACTGCGTCAAACTGTAGCTGTAATGCTGTCCCGATCGATCAACCATTTGAGTAAAACTGGCACAAAAACAGGAACAATCCTCGGCCCATCGCGTGTCCTTTTGAATTAAGAGTTCCTAAACTAAAGTCAGTCACCGCACACACCAACAACTGGCAAAATCAAATGACTTAAATTAACCAGAGATTGATTCTTCCCAAGTGTCCAGAACAGAAGAGTAAGTAGCCTTCCTTTCCATGAAGCTCGGAAGTGTGTTCGTTTTTGTGCCTCTCTACCTGGAAACACCAGGAAACAGAATATTCCACAAAAAGGTCCAAAGACAAGAGCAATCCTTACTGAATCAGAACCAGTAAAAATATACAGGTGGATCAAGATTTCTGGATTTCAGATTTCACACAGGTTGTGTGTTTGGAGTTCTCAAGGATTCGTCGAGAGCTCTCAGATTCGCCGACGATGGGAGATCGATGTTCTCTGAAGAGTTGATCCGTTTTTTTGGCAGTTGAGTTTTTGCGGTTCAACCCTGTTTACTTGAATAAAGAGGCGAGATTCCCATCGATTTCCATCCGATCTTTGGAAGTCCATCGAGTCTGGAGACGAGTTTGACTATATTTGAAATGTAGAACTGGGTTTTATTTGAATCCTTCAGGTTTAAGAAGCTGGGAACTTTATTTCTAGAAACAGAATGGACTCTGGGAAAACGTAGGTCAGGACATCTAGGGAAGCGACCACAGAAGGGTAGACAAGTTATATCCCATGGAGCGTTGGTTTATGTGGTTAATCCAAGGAGAGACGAGGGAAACATTACGGTGAACTAGCTGGAAGACAACCACGATTGGTCCTGGTCCATCCTCGCCAAGAGTGGAGACGAAGAACAAAGCCAAAGGTCAGTCAGTATTCTTGGAGTCCAGATCCAAACCAACCCACAGAGTCATCCAACTAAGATCCAAAGTGCCATAACAGCATCTAAACCCAGCATTCAGCAGGGCCAAAGTCCACTTGGGGGGCCATAGAGTAAGGGCTTGGTTCAGAAAAGTCCAAAAAGAGATACCTGAAACCGTCATGCTGGAGTCTAGTGCGCTCAGGTTTGGTGCTGATCTGGTTTCAGTCCGGTCGTCCACTCGAGTCTTTTCACAAATCTAAGTCCAGTTTTGGCTCTTGGATTCTGGTTTGGTTCCATTGGGCTCCTCTCAGGACTTGTCCCCGAGCTGAGATGGCTCCATTGGCCCCTCTTCGTCTGAGAGACCAGTTTCCACGGTGATGACCAAGGAGGCAACGGAGGCGCTGCTCGCCATTGGCTGCAGCTCACCTGAAACATGATGGGAGAGACCGTCAGACCCAAGACTCAAAACAAGACCTGGTTTACTTTTCACCTAATTTTAACGTGTGAGGGTTTCGTTTTATTTTGTTTGGAAACAGTAGAAGGAAGAGTCGGTTCACAACGTGCACACACACACACACACACACACACACACGTGTTGTTTCATTACACAGCCACATCACCAAGACAGCAACTACCGGTCTGGAATGTATACTACAGAAAAAACTAAGATTTACAACTTGAGTGCTCTGAGCAGTCACACAAAAAAGTACTCGGGGGGGGGGGGGGGGGACGCTGTGCTTTTTCTCCAGGCGGCCGCCTTCTGCTGCTCCAAACGCTCTCTCCTCATTGGAAACAATTTAAAAAAGACGCTGGCGCTCAGAAAAAAACGTTCGGTGGACACGGGGCCTAAGACAACTTCTCCTCCACTGCCAATCAATCAAAATAATTGGAGAAGGCGCCCTGATGGTCCCTAACCTTCTGATCTGAATCGACACCAGTCAGTTAAAGTTTGTGTTTTTAAAACTTTTTTTTTTTTTTTTTTTTTTTTTTAAATCGCTAAACCTTTGTCATGATTTGTGTTTGGATCAGCGTGCAGCAGCTCCTAAAGGTCAGAGTTTATCATGTTTATTATGGGATTATTCCACTTTGTCTGTTTTTTTAGTCCGATTCTCTAAACCAACGAGATACTGATCATTGATCAAAGAGCCGATCGACATCCTGACGACGAGATATTTCATGTTGAGTCTAAAAGTCAAAATTCAAGGTTTCTTTGAAATTTGTCTCGGATGCTGGGAAGTTTTAAAAATGAATTATCACCCAACATCAAAATAAGCAATAAACAATAAATAAAACATATTCTGTTGATTCAGCTCATGTTCCCTTATTAAAAAGCTTAAAGATGTCAAGGAAATCAAATTAACAATTATAACATACATATATATTTAGTCCTGAAGGAAACAAAAACCTGAGAGCAACAACAAATTACATCTTTATAAATGTGATATTAAATATATTTTATATCTGTATATTTTAATTACATTTTTAATTCCTGTTTCGTTCCTCTCTGACTCGCCATAAAAACATCACGTTAAAGATGTCCAGCTTTAAAGTGTAATGTAGCCAAACCACCACCAGGTGTCAGTATAACCCCACTTAATGTTTCACTGAATACTAACGACCACCACTCCTACACGGCGCGCTTCTCATGTCTCTCAGTTTTCATTTCCTCGCTCCTCACTTGAACCGGAAGTCGCCTCTGAGGAGCGAGGATGGAGGAAACGAGAGAGCAGCCAGTGTGTGTGTGTGTGAGTGTGTGTTACCTGTGTGTGTGTCCGTGGTGGCTGTCACTGGGCTGTCTCTCAGGGTGTCCGGGTCCTGGTAGTCCTGCGGGAGTCCCACCCGTCTCACCCCGGGGTCGAGCACCACCGAGGAGCCTCCCTCGCTCAGCGTGCCGTCACTCGATGCCCCGGACACCACGGCCTCCAGCGCCAGGGCCCCGACCCCGCCCCCCCCGACCCCGCCAACACCACCCAGGGCGAGGTCGTAGTCCAGCGGCAGGTCGTCCAGACAGTCCGCGTTCAGCTGGAGGAGAAACGTCCGTCAGAAAACATGTTTCAGGAATTCAGACGTTTTGGAAAAAACTGAAGATGAAAAATGAGCTCAAGTCTCTTAAATTAAATTCTTAAATCTAATGGTCGTTAAAGCGTGTCACACTCACAGCGATGCCCAGAGCTTTGAGGATGTTCATCTTGCACATGGGACACGTGCGGTGATCGAGCAGCCACGGGTCCACGCAGCTCTTATGGAACAAATGTCTATAAAACAAAGAGGTCGATGAGTTATTCTGCCGACAGATCAGAAACAGGCGGCTGGACGACCATGTTTACAGATGGTTTTGTTTTGAGCCGTTACACAATCTGCGTCAGCATGCTTTTATCTTGAAAAGCTCGTGTCATAATCTTTGCTCGTCTCTCCTGGGGGAACAAAACGCCGGCTGCCGTCGATCATTACTTTAACAGAAACTCAAAGATCTGCTCCTTCAAAAAGTCACCACAGGTTTTCAAACCGCGTCCTCGTCTTACTCTGAGGAAAGTGAGTTTTTATGTTCAGTAAAGAACATAAATACGGGACAGATTTGACAATCACAAGCTTTTGGAAGCCGGTGTATAAAGCCTGGCTCACTCTGCAGGATCATCGGGCCGATTTGAGCTCCGATTCTTCCTTCCCGACAATCTCATGGTCTCTCCCGACTCGAGGCTGCTCGGACCCGATTCTCTGTTCAGATTATCTCGTAGTGTGAGCGGTCCAAAGATCCAATCTTAACGTCCCCGATCTGCCCGGCGATCGTTGGGGACGCCCCGATTTATTTCAAACATGTTTGATATTCAGAATTTAAAATCTTGACGATTACGCCATGAAAGGGTCCGGCAGAAGTTGTGTGTGACTACAATATAATCACAAGAGACAAGGGAGGACTGTAGTCATGACGACCAGCGGCAGGACGCAACCTGGCGTTTTTGTTTTTTTACTTTTACGTACAGATAATCAGTGCAGCACTTTTCTCAACTCGACTTTTCTATATCCTACAACAACTTCCACTTCCTTCTCTTTCACCAACCGTCGTCCTTTGTTTTTTTCAAATGAAACTTTATTAACAATTGTCAACGCTCCGTGCCGATTTCACTCGTACAGTGTGAGCCAGGCTTTAGACGCACTTTTAATACCTTTTTTTAAACCTAGAAAGTTGGCTGTGTCCTGTTCTGGAGCGACCGATATACCGGTACTTAACGCTAACACACGCTCCGTCATCACACCTTCACTGATTCTTTAACTGCAGCTCTTCCTTTAAACTTCCTGAATCCTGCAGCTTTCATCTTCCTCACTTCAAAGCGACATGTGGGACTCTGTGGGCGTGTTTACCTGCAGGGCAGTATGCGGACCACGTCGTTGGGCTTGTAGCCCTCGATGCAGACGGCACAGTTGTCGAAGTCGGCCTCCGTCTCCTGGTCGCCTTTCCTGATGGTGCGAACCTGCAGCTTGCTGATCGCCTTCTTCGCCGCGTCGCCAAGACGACGCTGTTGGGGAAAAGAAGGGAGGGGGGGGATGTTTGAAGCTTCACCTCCTCAGGTAAACATTCAGGACGGATCACAACAGACCAAACAAAAACCTGCTTCCTGTTCTCAGAGGGTCCTCCTCTACTTCTTCTCTGATTATTTGATTTGTCACACAGACATGCTGATGATGTCACTGAAAGCTGCAGATTTACTGAAGTTAGGGGTGCAAACGAGTAATAATAATAATTGATTACAAAAAAAATGTAATCGATAATCGTTTTGTAGTCCACATTATTGTAAATGTTTCTTGTTGCATTGTGGGTTCTAGGATCGGCCTAATTCAAAACAGAAAAAAAAGAGCACGAGCGCAAAAAGAAAATAGATGACAAACAAAGCGCTGATAAAAGCTCTGTGCTGAAACGCGTCCGTTGTTGATCAGCACGCTGCTACCCTAACATAAATATCCCTTTTATTAACCCCTTTATGAATTCACAATGAACAAAAAGTCCCAAACAAACAAAATATGCAAAATGATCTACGAGAGTTCAGTTCAAATTGTCTTTTTAGTCCACAGAAAAAGAAGGACTTTCACTTCAGTGATTACCGCTTTACCCCGACAAACCAAAGACGTTTGATCATCCAGGACAGAGCAGCATAACTAGATGTTTTCCTATATTTTGGAATTTTAGATGATTATTCTTTTAACTACAAAATGGAACGACCTTATAGGGAGAGAGAGCTCATAGCGGACGGACGAGCGAGTTTGAGCGAGTGTGTCATTACGCACAGAGGAGAAAGATGAAACAGTTCCCCTGTTCTATTGTAACTTCATTCACCAGAGTAAAGTGTGCTCTACGCTGCAGACTGGAGTCTTTGTTAACACAATGTTTCTGTCAAAACAGCTTCAACGTGCGATGAGTGCATTGACGTCTGCACGTCCGCTCGCCACACTCACTGCTCTGATTATAATCAAGTGTTAAAACGCTCAGAACACGTCTGTGTGAAGGTTTATTTGAGGTTTGTTGTCTGTTGAAGTAAGAAATGTCATATTTGAATGTTAATACAAAGACATCTTACTAACAATTATTAAAATCCTGAAGATTCAAATGAATCAGTAGATACAGTCGGCATTGCGCTATAGTTCATAGTTGGGGGCGGGGCCTCCCGTGGGGGAAAAGAATCACAGAAAAAAAAAGAACTACAAAACGATTACTCGAGTACTCGCTTTAACAACGGGAAGAGTCATCGATTAGAGAACATTTTGCATTTCTGCACCCCTAACTGAAGTCATAAGCAAATATCTCTGCATGTCCGGAGATATAAACGCCATTTTAGCCTTAGTGGACAGAGGAAGAGAGACAGGAAGTGTGGCGAGGAGAGAGAGAGGGGATGACATGCAGCAAAGGGCCGAGGTCGGATTCGAACCGACGGCCACTGCAACGAGGACCTCAGCCAGAGGTCCCGAAGATGACATGAGCCAAACAGGATGGTGTCTGTGTGTGTGTGTGTGTGTGTGTGTACCTGGTTGCGGTCCCGTGCGTTGGCGTATCGGAACCTCTGGATGTAGTAGAAGACGAGCCAGGCGAGCGAGATGATCATCAGCACGATGAACGAGATGGACACGAACACTACCGACGTCCTGCTCACGTACTTCTGCAGGTTCCTCGTCCCGATGGTGATCGTCATGGTAACCGTCACGTTGCGCTCCAGCAGCGACACCACCTCACGTCCTTTGGGCTCCGGGATCATGATGGCGACCACCTCGCCTGTACCTGAGGAGGGGGGACAGAGCATTATTATACTGGTTTTAAAAAAGAAATGTTGGACAGAATTAAAATGATGAGAAAAGTCTATCCTCTTTTTCCCTTTATGACATCACAAAGGGCAGTAGCCCCTCCCCCAGGTGGGTGACACTCCCACAGCTAGGTGTTTGTTCTGCCCTCTGAGTCTCCCTTCTCACCGTAAACAATAGGACATGGAGTGAGAAAGACCGAGTACACCCAAGCCCTTCCAGAGAGGGGGCGTGGTCAGACACAGCTCATTTACATACTTAAAGGTACAGACACAGAAACAGCCTGTTCTGAGCAGGGCTGAAATAGAGGGGTTTATAGACATGATCAAATACAGGATCAGAGTGGATTTAGAACAAGAAACTTCACACACATGTTTTGAGGAGCTCTGGGACTTATTTACACTGAAGAAGAGGAGGAGGAGGATATGTCACCTTTAATGTAAACAAGTTGAATGTAGAAGGAGGAAATTATCTCCAGCGGCTACGAGCTTCAGCTAAAACTTGGTGCCAAATAAATGGTTCTCAGTGAAGCTCAAGGACTTTATTTCCCCACAGAAAAAGTTCCTGGCAGTACTTTCTGAAAACACGGGTACTTTTGGGGTTGGACCCACATTTCTGATTAAAACACGACGTAAAACAAACGGGCCTCATATCATCACGGTATTATTCCTCTGTCTTTGATTCGAGCAGGTTGTATTCACTTCAATGATCCACTGAAAATCTCTATTCATCAACGCCCCCCCCAGCCTCTCATATCACCATGACGACCACCTCCTCGCCCACCCACCAGAGACTCTAAAAATAAACAGTAAACCCTGACATGCCCGATGACGAGTCATGAAGACGTGTTCTGTGTTTATTATAAAGTATTAAAACAGCTGACCACGTGATAACAGCAGATTAATAAAATGTTATATTAAATAAGTGAGTAGGGCTGTTTTTAAAACTGTTTTTTAAATCAAGATTAGTCACTGAATTTCAATAGTTAACTTTACTTCCTGGTTTTATTTTGAAAAATGTTGTTCCTCTCGGACCGTTGACAAAGCTAACGAAGCCAAATCCTGTCTCTGATTGGTCAGTGACGCTGTTCCAAAAGTTAAACTGTTAACATCTATGCGTGCAGCGACATAAAACATCAACAATGGCGAGGGCGTTTTAGAGCTCAGGAAGCAGCACCACAACACAGGTTGTCCACCTTCAAAATAAAAGCACCACATATTTTAATGTTTGAAAGGGGAAACTAAAATTCACAGAGCAGAGAAGTAAATATTTAATGGATGCAGCGTGGACAGTCAGAGTGCAATCGTGTGTGATGTCGACACGATATCCAACGTCTGCGTGGTGTTAGGACGCGGCGTGACACGGCCTCAACCACTTCTGCAAAATGTGGCGTTAAGATTTGAGAGAAAATGAGGCTGAAAGTGCCTCATGAAAAGCATAAAGAGATAAAAAGGGAAGCAGCAAACTTTGGTTCACCACAGAGGGTCGTCAAAAGGTAGACGGTCGTTCATGTAACGCTAAAGGGCGAGTCAACGAAGTGGCGTTAGCCTCGAGCTACAACCAAAACATCAACCGCTGCTGGTTGGGACGGTGAAACATCACACGGTCTCTGTCTGAACACGTTCTCCTTCAGCCCTGTTCAGGCCGTTTGTTCCTTTGAGGTCGTCCTTGTGACTGGAACATGACGGACCTCAAACACAAAACGCCCCGAGAGGAAGGGAATGTGGAAACAGGAAGTTAAAACTGCTGAGAAGTTTTATTTCCATTTCAAACATTCACCATGACGGACGGTTTTATTAGAAACTCTTCAAGGGGAGAATGAAGCCACGAGGAAAGAAAGTTAGTGTTTGTTCCTTTGAGGGGCCGAGAGAGTCCGGGAATGTGGCGTCGTGTTGACGCACGTTTACAACAAACAAGACGCACACGGGGACACACGTTCTCCTGACGGATGACGGAGGAGTTTTTTATTTTTATTTTACAGTTTTTCACAAACGCTGTGATGAAGACGTGGAGCTGAATCACATCTAATTGATTGTGCGTCCCTAAAGTAGCTTTTCCCCTTCTGCTGTTACAGTCACCTAGCAACGTGCAGCGTTTCTTTTTGCTCGTGTGCGCTCCAGAGCGCCCTACTCAACGTCGAGGGCAGTGCCCACCGCGTCCTGAAGATTTGTTTTTGGGTGTTTTGCCTCTTTTAGAGATAGGACCGTGGATAGAGTAAGACACCAGGGAGAGAGAGATAGAGGGAAATTATTCTGGAAATGAAGACTCAACTTTGGGTGTGCTGGCTCTGTGTGTGTGTGTGTGTGTGTGTGTGTGTGTGTGTGTGTGTGTGTGTGTGTGTGTGTGTGTGTGTGTGTGTTGGCTGGACCACAAGTTGGATAAACTCCCCGAGGCCTGAACTGAACTCGATTCAACCTCTCCAAACAAACAGAAACACTAATTGATTGGTCTCAGTCTAAAAATAAACCCATGGGATCAATGTAGCGCACGCACACACACACACACACACACACGATACATTATGTAGCTTCAGTGTTTAGCCAGCTCTGCACCGGTCTTGAAACTTTTCTGTTTCAGCTTCTAAAATGTGAAGACGTGTTGCTTGTTTCATCTTGTATGAAAGTAAAAGTGATGAACGTTTGGTCTTGTTCAGATTTTAGGAGCGTTTAACGATGGGGGGGGGTTCCACAGCGGACCTGGAGGGGTTAAAATTACTCGTTTATAATCAGAGTAATCGTTAGTTACTACCCTGGACCGGCATCATAATCACAACGTAGACACAAAATCTAGAGATCATCTGGATCCAAACCCTCCTTTAGTGAAAGTCCCTTAACATAAAGAAGGAAAGAGTTCACTGTGGGCTCAGAAATCAGATCAGGGATCGAGCAGAAACGTCACACACTGACCCCGATGTTGAACATGTCAGGAGGAAGTTGATTTAGAGTAAACAAGCTGCTGTGGGAAGTTTGGGGATCCCTGAGTGGGCCGACAGAAACAGCTGTGAGAGAATAACAACGTCTTCCTCCTCACAGAGAGCAACAACACGTCTGATGTTTCATCAATCTGCAGCAGTGAAGAGGTCCGGCAGCGTCAGAGACGTGCACTCAGCAGTTTGTCTGATCGCCACATCAGACGGATCGACACCGTCATGTTTCACAGCTCACTGACTCAGCAGGAAACCTCTGAGCAGAGCTGCTACCGGATCATCGTCTATGCAGATCAAAAACGTTCTCTGAACTTGAAAAAAGTCAAAGTCATCAAAAAAAATCACAAACGTTGTCTGAGCAATAAGCAGGACACTGAAAGACCTTCAGTTTTAAGAATAAACATCGGAGAAGAATGTCTTCAAACGTTTCAGCTCGATGTTCTGAACGTCTGTCCAAACACTTCACATCTTCTAACAACCTCCAATCGTGTCGCTCCTTCATCACAAACAGGAAATCAACCAACAAACATCCATGTGTTTTTATTTACCCGTCCTGAATCATGGAGCTCGCTGCCTGACCACTCAACACTAACTGTGAAGAGAGCCATCAAAACAAATCTCTTAAAAGTCGTCACATCCACGTTTTTTGCGACAGGTTTCTCCTGAATCCAAAATAACAACATAAATAAATTGTCTCCAGTAGCTGATCTGACTGAATCTAAATGAAAGTATGAACATGATGTCCTGGGTTCTATCCAACATTTAAAGTGTTTATGTGTGCCAGGTTAGAAAGGGCGGCTTGTTTACAAAAACATTTGGGGGGGCGGGGCAGCAGAAGCTCAGTCTGGAGGGACTTGGCTTGGGAACCGGAGGTTGTCGGTTCAAGTCCCCCTGAAAGCCAAGTCTGGTAGCTGGAGAGGTGCAAGGTCACTTCAGGCACATAGGATGCTGTTTGTGCATGTGTGTGTATTTACATCTGTGTGTGTAGCAGGTCTCAATAACAGAACCTGGATGGGCATGGTGATGAATTCAGGTTGTAAAAATGTATCATAAAAACAATACAATCTCAATGACACGGATCAAAAACTACATCTACTTCATAATAAAGGTGCAGGAGAGGAGTGAATCCATCAATTATTGCAAAACATATTTGTGCAAGACCGTCTGCATGTGTTTGTTTGTAATTTTTTGATACTTAAAAAAACAAATGACCAAATATTGGATGCATAGGACTTCAAATCTTTTTGCCATGGAATTGAAATCGTTTGATTTAGTTTTAAAATCTTGTATCACAACAATCCTCGTCCTGAGCATGAGCGGCCCTCACAGTAAACCAGCAGGATGTTGCTGTTTTAACGTGTTATACTGCATATAAATGACATTAAATAAAGTGGCATTAAACAGTACCTGAATGAGGCATGGTGATGGTGTTAACATGAAACAGTACCTGAATGAGGCATGGTGATGGTGTTAACTTTAAAGAGTACCTGAATTAGGCATGGTGATGGTGTACATTAAACAGTACCTGAATGAGACATGGTGATGGTGTACATTAAACAGTACCTGAATGAGACATGGTGATGGTGTACATTAAACAGTACCTGAATGAGGCATGGTGATGGTGTTAACATTAAACAGTACCTGAATGAGACATGGTGATGGTGTACATTAAACAGTACCTGAATGAGGCATGGTGATGGTGTTAACATTAAACAGTACCTGAATGAGACATGGTGATGGTGTTAACATTAAACAGTACCTGAATGAGGCATGGTGATGGTGTTAACATTAAACAGTACCTGAATGAGACATGGTGATGGTGTACATTAAACAGTACCTGAATGAGGCATGGTGATGGTGTTAACATTAAACAGTACCTGAATGAGGCATGGTGATGGTGTTAACATTAAACAGTACCTGAATGAGGCATGGTGATGGTGTACATTAAACAGTACCTGAATGAGACATGGTGATGGTGTTAACATGAAACAGTACCTGAATGCGGCATGGTGATGGTGTACATTAAACAGTACCTGAATGAGGCATGGTGATGGTGTTAACATTAAACAGTACCTGAATGAGACATGGTGATGGTGTTAACATTAAACAGTACCTGAATGAGACATGGTGATGGTGTTAACATTAAACAGTACCTGAATGCGGCATGGTGATGGTGTTAACATTAAACAGTACCTGAATGTGGCATGGTGATGGTGTTAACATTAAACAGTACCTGAATGCGGCATGGTGATGGTGTACATTAAACAGTACCTGAATGAGACATGGTGATGGTGTTAACATTAAACAGTACCTGAATGCGGCATGGTGATGGTGTACATTAAACAGTACCTGAATGCGGCATGGTGATGGTGTTAACATTAAACAGTACCTGAATGAGACATGGTGATGGTGTTAACATTAAACAGTACCTGAATGCGGCATGGTGATGGTGTACATTAAACAGTACCTGAATGCGGCATGGTGATGGTGTTAACATTAAACAGTACCTGAATGAGGCATGGTGATGGTGTTAACATTAAACAGTACCTGAATGCGGCATGGTGATGGTGTTAACATGAAACAGTACCTGAATGCGGCATGGTGATGGTGTTAACATTAAACAGTACCTGAATGCGGCATGGTGATGGTGTTAACATTAAACAGTACCTGAATGCGGCATGGTGATGGTGTTAACATTAAACAGTACCTGAATGCGGCATGGTGATGGTGTTATCATTAAACAGTACCTGAATGCGCATGGTGATGGTGTTATCATTAAACAGTACCTGAATGCGGCATGGTGATGGTGTTATCATTAAACAGTACCTGAATGCGGCATGGTGAAGGTGTTAACATTAAACAGTACCTGAATGCGGCATGGTGATGGTGTTAACATTAAACAGTACCTGAATGCGGCATGGTGATGGTGTTATCATTAAACAGTACCTGAATGCGGCATGGTGATGGTGTTAACATTAAACAGTACCTGAATGCGGCATGGTGATGGTGTTAACATTAAACAGTACCTGAATGCGGCATGGTGAAGGTGTTAACATTAAACAGTACCTGAATGAGGCATGGTGATGGTGTTAACATGAAACAGTACCTGAATGAGACATGGTGATGGTGTTAACATTAAACAGTACCTGAATGCTGCATGGTGATGGTGTTAACATTAAACAGTACCTGAATGCGGCATGGTGATGGTGTTAACATTAAACAGTACCTGAATGCGGCATGGTGATGGTGTTAACATTAAACAGTACCTGAATGCGGCATGGTGATGGTGTTAACATTAAACAGTACCTGAATGCGGCATGGTGATGGTGTTAACATTAAACAGTACCTGAATGCGGCATGGTGATGGTGTTAACATTAAACAGTACCTGAATGCGGCATGGTGATGGTGTTAACATTAAACAGTACCTGAATGCGGCATGGTGATGGTGTTAACATTAAACAGTACCTGAATGCGGCATGATGATGGTGTTATCATTAAACAGTACCTGAATGCGGCATTGTGATGGTGTTAACATGAAACAGTACCTGAATGCGGCATGGTGATGGTGTACATTAAACAGTACCTGAATGCGGCATGGTGATGGTGTTAACTTGAAACAGTACCTGAATGCGGCATGGTGATGGTGTTAACATTAAACAGTACCTGAATGTGGCATGGTGATGGTGTTAACATTAAACAGTACCTGAATGCGGCATGGTGATGGTGTTATCATTAAACAGTACCTGAATGCGGCATGGTGATGGTGTACATTAAACAGTACCTGAATGCGGCATGGTGATGGTGTTAACTTGAAACAGTACCTGAATGCGGCATGGTGATGGTGTTAACATTAAACAGTACCTGAATGCGGCATGGTGATGGTGTTAACATTAAACAGTACCTGAATGCGGCATGGTGATGGTGTTATCATTAAACAGTACCTGAATGCGGCATGGTGATGGTGTTATCATTAAACAGTACCTGAATGCGGCATGGTGATGGTGTTATCATTAAACAGTACCTGAATGCGGCATGGTGATGGTGTTATCATTAAACAGTACCTGAAGGCGGCATGGTGATGGTGTTATCATTAAACAGTACCTGAATGCGGCATGGTGATGGTGTTATCATTAAACAGTACCTGAAGGCGGCATGGTGATGGTGTTATCATTAAACAGTACCTGAATGCGGCATGGTGATGGTGTTATCATTAAACAGTACCTGAATGCGGCATGGTGATGGTGTTAACATTAAACAGTACCTGAATGCGGCATGGTGATGGTGTTATCATTAAACAGTACCTGAATGCGGCATGGTGATGGTGTCGTTGACATTAGCAGAGCCCACGTTGAAGATGACCACGGCGGACGCGTTGTGGGCTGCAGCGTGGCGGATCTTGTCCTTGTAGGTGCAGTTCCCCCGGGCTATCAGGGCGATCCAGGCCCCGCTCTGAGCGGGCACGGAGAACCGGCTGTTCGGGTCGCAGGCCTGCCGGTCGTGCGGGGCTGCGGGCAGGACCAGCACTCCTTTGGCGTCCCTCTTCGGGGAGTGCTCCCCGTACCGGCCGCACTCCGTCTTCTCCGTGCGCAGCTCCGAGGTGGCCGGGTCCACGTAGGTGATGTTCACGAAGGCGGTGTACCACTCCTCCCGCTCGGCCACCGTGAAGTCCAGGCACAGGAGGTGCACGAAGCAGAAGGAGAGCAGCCAGGTAGAGAGGGCCAGGCTGCGGCAGGCCGCCACCAGAGAGCCCGGGGCCATGCTGAGCCTCCCCGGTGAGATCAACAACAGCAGACGGTTACTCCACCATGCTCCCAGCCCGCAGAGCAGCACGTTATTTCACCCGTTTTTATCTGAACCGTCGAGCCCCGCTCCTCTTTCTCTCTATTTTAACCGTTTTCTGTTGTTTACCCGCTGCTGCTGCTCCGCCTCCCGAGCAGCTCTCCGTTAGCCGCCTGCAGCATCTCCGACCGTCACCGGGAAAACCGAACAAACAAACAGCTCCGCGGACGGTTAACGGCAGAGAAGAGAGGACCACACTGTAAATAAAACACAAAAACAGCGAAATAAACTGCGCCACAGAGTGAACGAGTGATGATGTGTTAAATATTCACAGCTAGCTGAACAGGTTAGCTAAGCTGCTTTGTTTTGACTGGGCCTGCTGTGCGAGAACGACCGTCATGCGCAGAACGGTAAACATTCTACATCCGGTTATTAATTCCAAAATAAAATACACCACGCTTCAAAGTAATAGCTTTTTATTTTCTTCATTTATTCTCCGCCTTTATTTGAATAGTAACTGTAGTGGCGATATCTATAGTCTATGAATAACAAAAATTCCAAACAAATTATAAACTTAACTTAAACTTTTTTTTTTTTTTTAAATGATGTAAATATGTTTGATTTGATTTTAACTTCTATTTTTTTTATTTTTTATAAGTATATTCCCATCCCCTGTTTTTCTGGAGCTGCTGTAATGCACAAATTTCCCCCAAGGGGGATCAATAAAGTTTATCTTTATCTTTATCTTTAACACAAACTCATAATAAAGCCACTGAGGCACCTAGAGGGCGAATCTTTCGCAGGATATATTAATAAGTCCATTGTCTAGATCACGGGTGGGCAACTGGCGGCCCCCATCAACCCTCAACGTGGCCCTCAGGTTAATTTTTTACACATCAATTAATTGGAAACATGAAGAAAACATGATGAAATCTGCCATGAAATCATGAAAACCAGAAATATGTCCATAATAATATTTGATCACTGGTATATGTTGAGTTAAATCTGAGACATAATCGACTGTAATCGTTTAATTTGGCCCTCTGGCAGTGAGAATTAAATGAATGTGGCCCTTGCCCTCACCAAAGTTGCCCATCGCTGGTCCAGATGATGATTGAAGGTTTTAGGGTGGTTTATTTTATCCAGAGAAGTCAAGCAGGCAACATACAACAAAAAACGCTGCCGTCTCTCTTGTCCTGCCTTCCTTGGAGAAAAAAAACATGAACCCATTAGGTGCCTACCTGAGTCTCACCTGGCTATGTAGACACACCCATGTACAGACTCCACCCTTATGCCCCAAGTAGCAAAGTAAATGAATGGAAATAACTCGTATGAAACAATAATAATCAAAATACCCCGAACATAATTTCATATTCAAAATAAGAATACAGACTTTCACTTAGTTTAGGAACAGTGTATAGCTGTAATAGTAACTAAACCCCCAAACCACCTTTTTTCAGCTATAAAGTAGTGTTGTGGATCAATTCAGGTCCAAATCTCGACATCTGAGTATAAAGTATTTTAATTCACACGAGAGGGAGAGATGTCGTCCTGAATATTCAGCACTGCTGTGATTTCACATGTGTTCTGATCATGTAAAGTTTTGTCTCTTTAGAGCATATTGCACTCCCCTGTATACTGCCCCCTTTTGGGGTAAGTTCAAAAAATCAAGTATGCACAGACTTCAGGTTGCTTACATTGATTGTTTTAGGATCTTACTTAAAAAGCCAAGATGGAGGAGTGCAGGTGAGCTATTTGTGAATGCAGGAGTTAACACCTCACAAGCTTTATTGAGGAACCTGAGGTACAGATTTATCGGTCGCTTGAATGACTCAAAGAATGTAATTATAATGCTGCTGTTAAACCCAAGTTATAGTGCAGTACGCTACCAGTCATACCTTTGGAGACGTTGGTATAAGTGCCTTTTATAAGAGGCGGGAATGTTTTTATTCTAATGTATATGTGTGTTGTCTATTTTTTGTATTGTATGTCTTTTAAAATGGACCTTGAGTCTAATAATAAAAGTTGATGATGATTCCGTCTGAAGATAATCACAGCAGTGCTGACATCCAGAACATCTATTATTGTTCTATCTATCTATTATTATTATTCACCATGCACCTTAATAACTTATCATTTCGTATTTACCTACTTGCACATAGTTCTGTATATATATATTTATTTCTCATTTACTGCACATAGTTCTGTTTACATCTGTTTACATCTGTTAGTCCGATCACTGTCCACTGTGTTTTGTTTTGTTTACTTGCACTGTTGTTAATTTACTGCTCTGTGTGCCTTTGAATTGCCCCCCGGGGACAAATAAAGTTTTTTGAATTGAATTTGAATTGAAGCTCCACCTCGAGTGTGAGACTACTTTTATACAACAGTTATAAGAGCAGGAAATATAGAAATCAACAACTGATTATTTTTTAACTCTTAACTGAGACTAGACTGTTGCTAAGCAACCCGAATATTCTATTCTACTGCCCAGTGTTACTGTTGGTCCATGGTTTTATTTTGAAGGATAAAAACTATTTTTACGGCTGTAATGTTTCTACCTTGACGTAGCTGAGCGCGCAGGGATCGTGAGCGGCGCCACCTGGCGGTCAGGCAG